TTTTTTTTAAACAATATATTATTTTATATAATAAATATATACCAATTATTAAAAAATATTTATTTAAATTATATAAAACGTAAATATTTATTATTAATTTTTAAAATATATAAATTTTAATAACTATAATATACTTAATTATATTAAACATAATACAACCGACTTTTTTGATTTTAACACAGTTGCACTAATGGTCCACCATAGGTATATCTGCAACATATTAGATCTTGCAGTTTTGTGGTGGCATAGTTACAAAGTACATTAGTAGTTACCGTCGAATACGAATATTGAAACTAAATAGCACACTAAGCACGTATACGCATATGTATAGTATATGTATCCCTCAGGTCTTAAGCCGAGACATTGCGAGAGGGCTATGCATTCTGTAGCGTGCATTGTGTAAATTACCTAGGTTACCTTTGTGCAATAGAAATCTGAAAACTGTTCAATATAACTATTATAATTTATAAATATCCATATCTGGCTCATAGGAAGAAGTATTCGAATTATATAATTTTCATATACAAGCATAGAGAAAATCTAAGTAAGCGTCTTCATCTGTCTACATGCGCATACCCGCGGACGCCTCCGTTGCACGTAGGTATGTGTTGAGAAAATGAGGAAGCATCAAGTAAGATAGGTAGTGGGTTGATCTTGGCTTGATTGGCCGACGTCACCGCCAAACCCGCCAATGCTGCATTTTCTCCGGGAAAGGATCCACCCTGTTTTACAGGTCCACTTTCTTAAATGGACGCCCGAAGAAAAAGAATGGCGATGCGAAGAGCGCGTGCATGTACGAGGTAATGGTGTGTCTGTATAGCATTATTGTTCTTGTCATTTTTCAATCTTGAAAGCTTGTCACACCACCCGGCAGGTCCGTGATCCACGTGGGATTCGTATCCGAAATTGGCTAGTTCGTGATGGTTCTGCTGCCTGAGTGAAGACCGTAATTTCTACGTATCAAATCGGAGTCCCGTAAATATATATCAAAAGACGTTGCAGCACCAGACACTTTATTTCGGAAAATGAATGCAAACCAACTTCCAAATGTAAAACGTCCCAGGTTGGCATTATGTAGCGTTCGATTTTAGCTCTCGGGCTACTGCATCAGGGTGGGTTCATGCCGTCATCTTGGTCAGCCACTACCGGCAGGCCAAGTTTAAGCTCAGCTACTTGGCTAGATGAAACAAAGCCAGTATTAAGCGAATACATGTTTTAGATGCCGATCGTTATATAGTCAGGATATTGTTGCCTTAGATCACCTATCCGGGTGGGGGGGGTCCCAGGACAGTATGACTCTAGAATGTTGAAATATACTATAATGTCAATTCGGGGAAAGCCTGTTAACAGAGCTGTACTATAATTGTATGAAAAAATGCTAACGTTGCTTCCGATCCTTTCCGTAAGAATACAAATTCTTATTAGCCACGCATTCTCGCACGGGCCCCCCTTACAAGAATAATACGTTGATCAAAATAGCCTCAATATCGTCAACTTTATACTATTGCAGTAGGTGCTACTGTAGCCTTGAAATTAAAATAGGAAAGAGACTCTAGTGAAGGAGACAATGCTTGCAAAGATAAAACACTGTTATCCTCGATAGAAGGCGCTCTTGCCAATATAATAAGGCTTGTCAGTACGGCTATTAAACCTACCTCGTTACGTTGATTTTAATTTAATATAGTCAATATAATAGGGCTTGTCAGTACGGCTATTGCACCTGCCTTAGTACGTTGAATTTATATAAGGCTAGCCAGTCTAATAGGATCATATGCCTTGCCATCTCAATAGTAAATAGGCCTCATCAATATAATAGCCCCTGAAAGCCTGAAGCACCTTGGCTGACCTGGAAGGAGTAGGTGCCCTAGTATACCTTATATAAGGTAATAGGTCACCTTCCCACACGCGTACGTAATGTAATATAATATAATGCCTCGTAGTCAATTTGAATAGCCCGTAAACTTGTAACCTGACTTCTAATCTGACTTGTAATCTGACTTGTAATCTAACTTGTAATCATTCGAATCCTATCGTAACTTAGTAAAAAAATGAACGATCTCAAGCACCTTAAAATAAGAGGTGTTTAAGATAGCCTCTTTTTAATTTTTATTCAATATATATATATATATCCCTTGGTGCACAATACTTATTAAATGAATATATAGTGATGCCACTAGCATTATATCAAGGTATACATCACATTAGTGTCCCTATTATAAGCATAACATGATTATATACCATATACACTCTGTTCGTGTAACCCCAGAATTGTACAGCCAAAACACTGTTGGAGACACAATAATGGTGGGGGGATAATACTGACCTAGCCTTACCAGACTATTATTTTTATTATTATATTTAAATTAAATCTACAACCTTAGGGATATCCTTATTAAAATAATCAGAATCTCCAGGTCGAATAATGTCCGATACAAAACGTATGAGTCTCTATTGTTTAAATAAATTATGGTATATAATTTAAAGTATGTTGACAGATTGGTATCAGTCTGTCCTAGGACCCCCCCCACCCGGGTAGGCAGGTACGGGCTCTGTACCTGTGGGTAAGTAAATTGGATAAATGATATTTTCACTTTCTTTAATCATTCTTTCAGGACCCAGGTTAGGTAACCAGGTATGAACCAGCCGCCGGTATACAGCTTACTCGCCTCGTTAAGAGATAGATACAAAGGTATATAGTTGGAATAGTCGGTTCTTACCCTACGTTCAGCCTTTTTTATTGATCACAGTGATTGACTCTCCTATCTGTGTAAAGTGCACAAAGCCCAAACTATACCCCCAAATCGACGAGGTTACATATATTTCACGTGTTTCTAATAATAGACCTCCTTATCTTTCACACAATGCAAGAAACTATTTCATTAAACAAAGACGATACGTATGTTCACTCCAAATTGGAGCATGCAGATCTATGTACATATACCATATGACTACCAGTCTTCTCCGGACTCTATAAAAAACAAGATCCCGGGCTATCCCAATAGACATATTACCAAGCATTCTCCTTTTTTTATTCCTCTACCGGCCTCCAGTCGGACGTCCATAGCGCCTGTCGATGTTGTCTATTTTTGTTTCTGCTGCGGTGATCCGCATGCCGTGATCATAATCCTCATTCGTTCTTCCAGGTCGTCGAAGTACTGCTGTGGAGGCTCGTAAGGACAGCTCAGAATTAGCCCCTGGAGGGTGACACATGCCGTAGCGGCGTATTTCATTATGGTAGCGATGGCAGAGATATAGGCGAATTGTGCAGGTAAGTGGCAAGCTGCCAATCGTGACGTTCCTCTTCCGGTTTCGATATGATCCACCCAAACGTCTAGATCATCGTACATGTCGTCGACGACATTAAGAGTGCTACTAGCATCGTTAAAGAGCTTGCCCCAACGGCGTTGCTCTTTGTCCGGGGTGTTGAACGGCGTCGAATGGAAGCCCGTCGAGAGGTACTGGATTTCCTTGGCTATGGCCTCGAGATCACTATAGAGCGACCTCATGTCAACTCTGATACGCATAGCAGTTAAGCGGTCTGCAAGATTGACAGAGGGCGGCGGCGGGCCTCTTGGGTCATGGGCCCTATATTGGTATGCGCCGGGAGCTGGTTGTGGATCCGGCGTCGTACCGGGCCGCTCGGAGGGGGACGGCATGCCGTATGAGGTTGAAGAGTATGTATATGTATTAGATCGTCGTCTGGCCCCATGCGCTCTAGATCTATGGGTCTCATCCGGACCGTTAGGCTTATCATGCCCCCATTCCTCGAAGTAAGGCTTCCCGCGATGATTAGGCTTCGCTTCGTAGCTACCTGGATGTCTGTTAGAAGAACCGTCTCTGGAATATTTGCTCTGTTCGGACTTACCGCTGCGTTCCTTCCGACTACGACGTTTGGAACCTGTATCACTGTCATGACCAAGATCCTCGGCGCTTTCACGATGAATATCGTACTCACGTCTTAGAACCTCGTCACGGAGAATCTCCCACGCCTCCGAAACCTGCTGGAACCGCGCGTTGTTCTCCGGCGTGTTTCCACCTTCTGCTTTGTCTGGGTGAACCTTCCGTGCGAGTTCTCGATAGGCCTTCTTGATGTCCTCTAAACTAGCGTTACTCTCAACGCCGAGGACCTTATATAGGTCGTGGTTAGGGAAGCTAATTTGAGCCATGCTGAAAAACGTCGGTGTAGATGATGGGAATGCCGGTTTGTCTTCTGCGTAATATCGTAATACTATTGTGCGAATGTTGCTTGAAAGTTTAGTTTTCGGAATGACTTGGAAGAATTCGTACACATATTCACCAGTCGTGCCGGTTTATTATGTAGTGTCTCCAGCCAGCTGAGCAATTTGAATACACGTGAATAAGATCGTCGGCATTCTTCGTGGATATTGTTTTGGCACAAACTTCAAATCTGCCGACAAAGGACAAAACAAGGCTCATGCTTATTATATCCTCTGCTCTTCTCTCCCTAGCCATTTTCGCAAGGCTATACACGTGGGACTTCACTGTTAATACACGACTTCTTACGTGGTGTCTAATCGCAATTTGGCATTCTCAAATATCCGCTATGGCGCCAAGAGTCAAACGTCACCCACGAGGATATGCCAATTACCCCATGCATACATGCCGGTATTTGCTCATGTGCCAGTGAGAGGAATTAGCTAGGTGGTAGATCCATAGGCATTGTAACCCATTGAATCGAATTCTGATCGTAGCTCATGGGTATCTGAACATCCTGCATAGTGTCTTTTGCGGCTGAAGGTTGATAAAGGGGATCAAATATTAATTCTATTAATAACAAAAACTCATATTGGGTGTGCCTAGGTTGGGAACAACACACATGCCGAATCTGTAACACTTATAAGGTCTAGCCGCAAAATCAGAGGTAACTATTGCGAGGGCAGCGGGGGTTCAACCATTTAGAGAAACACTATGGATTGTGAGGTGTGGGCTAGAATTGAAACAGGAAGGCTTACTTTGTTACTATTGGATATCCAGTTAGTTTCGATTACCTATGGCTCCTCTTAACAGGGCAGGCTGATCTAGCGAGTTCGACAATTGGACGACGAGAATTTATTTCCTATTATCGTGGCACGCTAGAGCCCCGGAAGAAGGCATCTTTAAAGCCAAAGATACTGAAAGATTCTCGGAGCTGCTGTTAGGCTCTTATTTTGCTATCTCGGATGAGAATCATCAAGGCCTAACGGTAGCATGCGACGTATCCGGGGTTAGGGATGGGCTGCCGAGATGGTAATTTTGATTGCTTTTGGCATCACGGTGTCACATGCCGATGATCCCCTGTATCCACATCAATGCCCTTATATACACAAATAGGGTGCCATCCGGTCTATATCCGCAAAAAGTGTCCCTCCGAAAATCTAGGTAGACCAGAAATCTGGTTGTTCAAAGCGTCGCCGCTGCTTCAACTGCACCTGAAGCTTTAAATGCCGTTTTATTCGTCCATTTGATCTCAACATTATGCATCCATTCCATATATCGTGCCCAACCTATTTAGACAAGTGTCAGCCCAGGACCATTTACTAGAAGTGATTTGGAATCATACTCCAGTAGGCAAACTTGCGGCCGAGATATTTTCCAGCAAATGGCACCAAGACCATAGTTAAGAGTAGTTGTAACTGTTCTAAGCTCTGCTCCCATTCCCTTTGCGCATCGAAATCGTCATCATCGGTTGTGAAGCTTTCGGTAGAGGTGGAAGGAAGGGAATCGATATCGTCATTATCGGAGCCCGGTGTATCGGGCATAGCGAAGGAACCGGAGAGCGACATGATTCGAAGGTGAAGTGAAAGATCGAAGGTTGTCTATGCGTCGTTAAGGCTCGCGAGAAAGCGGCGGGACTAGGCGCTATTGCTAACAGATCTGATGCATTGGCAGGATTGGGTTCCACCAGCTGGGGGGCGGCTAGCTTATCCCCAATACACAATCAATACACAATCAAAGTTGAAAGGTAGCGAATGCTGTGGAATAAGGTGTAAGTTGCTGTAGTAAGTGACGCTGCTTCTGTTTGTGGTAGTTGATAAGTTGGACGTAAGCTACTAAGCTTTTATTTGGTGTTAGCTCCGAAATACGTACCTTCTTTGGGGCCAATCAAATACGTGGAACACTTGCCGACCAAGGTCAACTTGTTATTGGCGAGCTTGCTTTTTAGTGGGGGAATGATGAGATGCTGTAACGTGGGGTGGTAAGACAATTAAACTGCTGAGTCATAGCCTGCCTAAGTATTCTGCCTATCAGCCCTGGGGACTCCCTACCTATTTGGGGTTGGATGAGATTCAGAAGTACCCCAATGAGGCGGTAGAGAAAGTTGAAGGCAACAAATTGGTATGCATTTCTCTCCATCGTAGGGCTCAAACGTCATAGGATCTTCCTGCGCTCCTAATTTTTTCTTTTTCGATCTATCCAACTTCAACAACCTCAACTTCTGTCATTTCCAAAAATCATCCGAGTTGAGCTAAAATTAAGAGGAAGCTTCCTACCATCAATTCTAGTGTCAGCCCACCATCACTATCTTGATCGCCACAGCTATCGTCCTACAACATTAATACTGTTTCTCGGGCGTCGACAATCATTGTGACACAACCTGATTTTTATTTATTAACAAAAGGCTGAACAAAGCAAGGTCAAATACAGAAAGACAGCAAGGATGGACGCAACAGATGCAGCAGATACTGTAAGTTTAACTTCACTTATCTCATGATTCTCACATCCTCTCCATTTAGATCGCGGGTGCTGGATACAATTTGCCTGATCATTTTTGATTTCACTTATCGATCGGGACCGGTGTTTGCAGCCGCACTGTCGCCACCCTTCCTGGGTCTCCCCTCTATTCTCTATCCTTTGGTACTTCCTGCATGTACTCGGTTTATGGTACCCCCCCTCCCCCCACTAGCAGCAACGAGGGGATCCGATAAGACCAATATTTTTGCCCCTCCAATTCCATAGGATACAATTGTGGACCCCACTACTTTATACATTGGAGCCACATTGAAAATTCCGAGACACAAGCCACCGCTCAGAGTCATACCTTCCCACATCCAACGTTCAACACTCCTGGACCATCGGATTTCACTTCGGCACCAACCAACCTTAAATCTCCTCCGACCGGCAGATTCTTATTTACTTTATTTCTTTACCTCGTTAGGACCGGTTAAGACATTCTTCATTGACATAACTGTAACTAGCAGGAACAACGTCCCTCACTCCCCGACCGTAAACAGCGAAAATCCGTCGTTTTTAATTCCGAAGCTCTCGTAGTTGAGCCCGACGGCAAGATAGTCACCATGGCTTCCGAAGATACAAAGGACACTGCCCTATCCCATACCCCTCGTACGCCGCCGCTCTCAGCCGCTCTTGAGGCTTTTACTGATGCGCGAGAAGCTGCCGTCGAGGACGCTGCCCCTCCTACCGAAGAAGGCGGTCTTGATCTTCTCAAGAAGAAGAAGAAGAAGCCTAAGAAGACCGAGGATGCCGAGGGAGAAGAGGCAAGCGGTGCTGCCGACGGAGCTGCCGATGCCGGCGGCTTAGACTTAACCCTTAAGAAAAAGAAGAAGAAGAAGGCACCCAAAGCCGACGAAGGCGACGAATTCGCTGCCAAGCTCGCGGCGCTCGACCTCGACAAGGAGGGCGGCGCGGAGGGTGCTACTGACACGAAAGGCGACGAGCAAAGCGGAGATATGGAGAAAGGCACCGGTATCTGGAGTCACGATGAGACTAAGCCGATCAGTTACGATTTGCTCCTCAACCGTTTTTTCAGCCTGTTGGCTCAGAAGAACCCGGATCACGCCTCCAGCGGCACGCGAAGCTACAAGATCCCGCCTCCTCAGTGCCTACGTGAAGGTAACAAGAAGACAATCTTCGCCAACATCCAGGAAATTACCAAGAGAATGAAGCGAAGCGAGGAACACGTCACCGCCTACCTCTTCGCCGAGTTGGGTACAAACGGTTCCGTCGACGGTAGCAGACGATTAGTCATCAAGGGTCGATTCCAACAGAAGCAGATTGAGAACGTCCTGCGAAAATACATCAGTAAGCCTCCTCTTCTTGTCCTTTTATATCGTATGTGTTTTTGTCTGCGACATTCTAACTAGGTTATAGTCGAGTATGTTACCTGCAAGACGTGTCGATCTCCCGACACAGAACTCAACAAGGGAGAGAACCGTCTATACTTCATCACGTGCAACTCGTGTGGATCCCGTCGGTCCGTCACCGCTATCAAGACCGGTTTCTCGGCCCAGGTCGGCAAGAGAAGGAAGATGCAGGGTTAAGCTACACCCCTCGTTCCCGCAGAATGGTCTCTATTGCTCTGTCAAGAGCATGTTTTCGTATGGGCTCTGCTTTTTTTAACCGTGCCATAGCGTATTGCAAGGGACCCTTATTAGTTTAGTTTAGGGGCTAGGCAGGAAAATGGCAAAAAGCATTCACGTATATACAATTAATACTGTTTTGTTTTGTTTCGTGATCGTGTGGGTGAGGTGCCTATTTTGATTAGGTATTACGTTGTATGCCCCATGCAATAATAGTGGTTTGATTCGCTCGCCATTCCATAACTTACTTTAAGAATGTTGGAAATACACCCCTAGACTTTTGTAAGGATGTATACAGTACTGAGTGACAGGTACCTAGACACTCAGGAACAACGTCGTCATACATAATCTCTACCTATCCCATGCTATTATTATACGATTGCCATTCGTGTATATAGGTAAATAATTCTTATGTTAACACATTTCTAAAAAAGTAAATAGTCGAAGCACGGAGTATGTTCTTACTCGTATATATCAACAGCTTTTTATTCAAGGTATGTAGCAAAAGGGGGTATGGAACTTATGTAGGAGAGCCCATTTCGTCCAAGTAATTTAAGGACCTAGGGAGGCGGGATATATGATGGAAAGTAAAGGGGGACGGAGAAGAGGGCATTGCTCATCAGTCATCTTATCCGAGCTAGCCCTCTCCGAACCATTCTCGAGACCTTGTCTCGCCTCCTCTCGCCTCCTCTCGCCTAGGTTCGTCTAAGCGTATCTCGTTCCATTTGTGCTTGTCTGAGTTTGTCTTGGTCTGTCTGGACTCTCCTGAGCTCGTCTCGTCCCTTCTCGTCTTACGCCATCCGGTATCATCCCCCCAAGTGTATCCATCCCCCAGCCGCATATTCTCATAATCCACTTTCCCTTTCCAATCCGGAACAAAATACAGTTGGTTTAGCTGAGGCTGGATTATAATATTTACTATATCGACGGGCTGCTCGGGATCACCCCCAATATATATCCGCTCCGTGGCGATACGCACTCTGGGCCCATACCTACTTCCTGCAATTGCCCACCGTTGGGGAAAGCCCATTGTTTGCCCGCCAGGTAGGCTATCCCAATTATTCCATAAATATTCTAAATCCTCATATGTGTAGCTGTACCGAGATTCTGTAAATACCAGCTTTCTTGTTTCTGCATCTCCTTGATATCTATCTTCTTTAGAATTTTCTGTAGCAGCAGTGCCATCTATGTGCAGCACGGCGAAATGTAGCTTAACCGTACCGTTATGGCGCTCTCCCACACGACTTATACATATCGCCAAACCCATGGTGAAATCATACTGAAATAGAAAGGCCACGATACGACCCTGTGTCGGACGTATCTCCTTCAAGATAGAATTGAGTTGCTGCTTCTCGATGGTCTCAGTGGTACAAAAAGTCTTAAAGTTCATAGAAGATACAAGTCTCCTCACGACTATATCTCTAGTATGCGGCTGATAACACGGCTGACGTTCGACGATCATTTTGATGCAATTGTCGCGCAGCATTGACCTGGGAAACTTTTTAAGCGTAGTAGATTCGTTGATAACAATCTGTTGCGTACGTCCATAGCTACCCGAACAGGTAATGAGAGGAATTGCAATTATCATAAATTCTTTCTCATCGTAATAACCACATGTTAGTATCGCAATTCTGACTTCCCGCTGCCGCCCCACGGGTAGCCCATCACTAAAAGAGCAATAATTATGGGTTTCATTCGGCTGAGTAAACTCGGTAAGTTCAAACATGGGTAGTTCTACATGGATTGAGGAACCAACAACGGTTGGCACCATTCGTGGACTATATAATAACTTGAGTAAGCAGTTGTTTCTTTTAAGTCGAGGGGAGTTGGACGTCATCAAGAAGATCTCACAAGCGAGATAGGAGAAAAAAGTGACGAAGCTGACTTGGACTTTACATACGATCTCCAGCTACGGAAATACAATTGGTAATCCCAATGGCGTACAAACTTTCCTGAACTCTTGAAGTCAGCTGGGCTCTTAGCTAGAAGCCCAAGGAGTGACCCATCATCTTCGGGCTTGTAATCAATAGGCTCGTAACCTAGTATTTGGGCGTCCGTCAGTGTGGACCTAGAAAACCGCCGAACAACCGTTCCCCAAGCAAATAGTGTGTGGTCGTCCGGATAAGCCTTCACCAACGCTTCCTGCAATCTTAGGAATGCACGTTCACCTTCGCCGTATAGAAGGGGCATGTTCACATCGAATATACCAAGGAGACAGTATGCTATGTCCTCGTCACGCGTGGTTTTCCTGTTTGCCGCCCAGGACATACGCTGTGCTATACTAGCGTTTTGGGTGTTCGCGCTGTCTAGGTACGTCTCGTCGATACCAGTAATACTAGATATGAGAGCCGAGAGCTGTAACTTTGTCCCAATTTGGCACCAGTCCTCAGAGTAGAAGATCACATTTTCGGATGCTATTAGCTCCTGCAACGTCCATCCGCGCTCGAACCAGCGACTCTCGGCGATCTGACTCTCGATCGTCGATATAGCGCTGTGTTTCACGTCGGCTAGATAGGCATAGCAGACAGATGCTTCCTTATACCATCTGAACATCGAGTTGATAGATTCGGAGAGCTCGGCACTGCTATTTTTATCTATGCAGCATCTGTACCTCAGTCGGTATTTACTCCTAAACATAATATTCTCAATGGCTTTTTAGGGTAGACTCACGTGTCGACCCAAACCCAATCAAGACCGTCTTTGACCGCCTGTTGACAGCAATATTCTATTTTTCGGAAGCCCTTCATCTTTTTAACTTTTCCACGCTCTCCTTGCCAATCCTGAAACGACACTTCTTCCTCCTCCCAGGTATGTGAGAGTATAGCATAAGGAGGGATGCCGGTATGTGAAGGGAAGAATTTCATTTCCCCGCTCGAGGAACTGAGAAGACGCATGATTTATAACGAAGCTTTAACTTGACTAATCCAATAGATATATATGATCTTATATAACTCTTAAAAGGACAGCGATATAAATGTCGGTTTATTTTTTTTTTATTGTTCAGGTACGAGAGCTGGTAGCGAGTTTGTTTTTAAACCATTAGGTAGAGACTGTGGAGTTGTGTTGGATCCATATCTGGCGGTATTAGTTGTAAAATATGAAGCTTTATTATTTATAATTGAAAGGCTAACCTTTTCATAAGCATTAAAAAGAAAATAAGTCAACGTATATTAAACAGTAAAGTGGTTACGTAAGTGTTACACTTACTTAAACCAGATCCTAAGCCACGACATCAGTCTGGTTAGAAAGTCTGCAAAAAGGTAGTGATGGATGATTTAAAAGCAGACCGTAGAGTTAATGTCGTAACTAGGCACCTAGCCTTATCCACCAATATATCCAGGGATTGATTTGGTCGACTTGGTCCCATTCTAGAACAAATCGCAACCACGAACTAGCGGATATCTTGTGGTTCATTGATATATAGGATGATTATTGACCTGACTGCTGACCGAGGAAGAAATTATTTTCGTAGTATTACTTTGAAGAGTTCAAGCGAACTAGGACGACTTATATAAGGTTTCATGGCTTGAGATGTCACGATTTTGGGCTTGTATCTATTTGGATAACACATAGTCAAAATATATATTACTACATAATATTTATTATTCCATCCAGAATGGGGGTTCTAGTTATGTATTATCTAGCAGGGTAGAAGAGTGGTGTTACGTTCATAGACATGCAGGCGAAGGAAGAAATTAGACAACTCACTTAGCAGGTAGCAGATGCTACATGTATCTACGTGCTGCACGCAACCTGTTGAGTTGATTACCTCTAGCTACATAACGTACCCAAAGACAGATAAGAAGGAACCATACCCTGATGGTTGTTGTAGATACATGTATCCGGCTTTGCAGCTTGGACCATGGCAACTACCTCAGCAATTGCTTATCATATAATGTAAGGTCATGTACCTATGTAACCTAAGGTAGGAACTGCATGTGTCATGAGAAGGAAGGTACCGGGGAACTTCAAGGTGGTGACCTCTCCTGCCAGAGTCATTACAGTGAGGTTCCACTTTCGCAGCTCTTTATTGGGTGGATTCGGAGATTACAACTCAAGTTCATGACATTTGTCGTCTTCCAATCTGTTTACAGCCGTCAAGGTCTCTGGCGTACAGCGTTCTTTGGTGACAAACAACGACTGTTTTTTTGGAGTTGTTTTCCTCTTTTTGGACTTTATTGGTTGATTAGCCCAGACCACTAATCACATGGTAGCTGGTTTTCGAGCGAGAGGTCTATCTATAGTCGACAGTGCTCGAGATTTTTCTTCAGCCTACTTTCTTATCTTTCCCACCTCTCGTCCTTGACTCACGAGGTTTCAAATTTTGCCTCGCATCTGGAAAAACAGCAAACTTCAGTGGCTACCGAGCGGTGCCGTCTCCGAGCCTTTCAACTTCTATAAACTGCGACCTCTACCCTCCTCTTCCTCGAGTATTCATCAACCAAGTGACGAAACATTCAACAGCTAGGCTTTGATATCAACTTTCAAGCCATCCTCTTAACAACGCGGAGTACTCTTTACTAGGCACGAACTTCTCTACTGGTACGTTACCGCCTACAAGTTCTGCACATTTGCACCCGATTCTTCGCATCCATTTTCTAGATCTGACACCCTTCCACTCCTCCAACAAGTTTTCCACCCTCTCTCGAATTTTTACACTCCATTTTCTTCCTCAACCAGTTACCTACACTTTACCCTACCCTAATCCTCCCCCCTTAATCATCCCGAACATCTGACAATATTCCAACTATACATCCTCAACTAAACAAAAGCCTGCCCATTGCTTCCACCTAACAATACTCCCCTTTCTTTCTTTTTACAACCAGCATCCACTGTTCAATTCTCTAAATCAACCTTAAGCGCGTTCCCCTCAGTCTACTACCCAATCTCGCAGAATACCCAAGTCACTTTACCACCAGCTAGGACAACTAATAGGGCATGTGCACTTGACTAGTCCGTAACATCACCCTTCTTTTTGCTTCCGCTTCTATTTTCTCCCAATGCCGGGATTTTTTACTCGATTCTACCATCAACTTCATAACTCGAAGGTTAAGCATACTAATAACTTAGTAACAGAAGCAGACACCATACGGCTCTACATACTCCCGCTACCATTACCTTGATTGTAACAACGACACGATTTGACGTAAGTCTGCTAGCTCCTACCTAATCTCACATTAGGTGAAGTAATATGTCATCATTTGCTAACTATGAAATTTTGTCTTCAGTTTAGTAAACATGCGTGCTGCACAGATTCTTAAGGCCAAGAGCAAGGCCAGGGATCGGGCCAGCGCCCTTAAGCTCAGTGTCAAAACTGATCTTCACATGGAGGATCCTGCATCGACAATCCCGACCGGGATGGGCTTCACTCAGGTAGCCTCCGCTCCACCCCGGAAAGTCCAATTTGACACAACGAACGAAGTGCCGTCCGTGCCGAAAGCGAGCGAAGCCATGATGAACTCTGATTGGCGAAACAATCGCCGTAACGGAAGCGGTGCTCATTTCGCGGTCCCAGCTACCGCATCCGTGGAGACGACCGAATTCCAAAAGGCCGGTGGCAAGAAACCCAAGAAGCTCACTATTGACACGGCTCTTGCTAATGAGGTGACTGTTCGCCGGTACCGAGATACTCCTATTGACCCAGATTTCATCCATTCTGCTCCCATAACCAAGAAAGATTATGAGACGGCAGACAACGACACCAGGCCTGATAGCTCCGAGGATGTCCAATATTCTAGCAACGATACAACTCTCTCTGTTGTTTCACCTACTACCAACATGTCCACGATTCGACTTGAGTCCCTAACTCCCATCACTAGCGAAGGTTTCCGACAGTTTAACATCATGTGTAACTATGGTCTAGATGAAGAGTCAAAATTTAGAAGCAGTGATGATGCCTATGGCGACAAGCATGGTCAAAATGACATGACAGTGAGAGCAATCCCTATCGTTTCCCCGCACAACAAGAAGATAGAAGACCCTATCTTCCCAATAGCCGCAGTGAAGGCCATCAAGCATTCCAAGAGATTCGCCCATGCTGGATGGGACAGCATCGATCAGGAGTTCGAGAAGAATTGGGCTATGCTTCAAGGCCCACGTACGGCTGGCCTTCCAGTCGAGAAGCTTAGAGAAGAGTACGAGTCTACTTGCTCCTCCGAGGCTGAGGTTGCAAAGAACCAAGCACGTTTCGATGCTCTCATCAGCAAACTCCAAAAGTCATCCGCCAATCGTATCAACGCGCAGTCAGTCATTGATATTAAGCCCTCTAATTCTCCCAAGAGGCTAGAAGAGAATGTACCTCTGAGTAAATCAGTCTCACACGACTCTGGAATCAGCGGCGTTAGTACAAAGACATTGCAGAGCCAGGGTACTACATTGAACCCAAAAGCTTCCGAGTTCCAAATTTCGTCTAGTCCCGGTATTAATTGCCAGCCAGATCTTCGCAAGTATCCGCTAGACCATAGCCACAATGTACCTTTCGAACAGAATGGCTATAAAGTCACATCATCAACGGATAGCGGCTCAAGTAGAACTCGCTCTGCGACTGCCGAGGACATAGAAAAGATTTATGCATTCATGGACGATTTGAAAGCACAAATGACACGGATTGAGGCAGGGGCTCAGCAGCGCCTGACAATGATGGAGACAAGTCCTATGGCTCAACTAAGTCATATTCAGAACATAGCCAGCCAACTTGGCTTGAGTCCTGTCCTTCAAGGGCCATCTCGAGATACTCAAAGCATTCATAGCTTTGGATCCGGGCCTGGTCCATGGTCAGGAGTTCAGACAATACCAAATTCTCAATCCCATCACAACGGTAATGGCGCATTCATACCCCCCTCGCATGTGCATGACACACAGGCGCCTTCATTACAGATGGGACCGCCTCCAATGTCGTACGGCCCAGGCCTCAGTTCACCACCAACTATGGGATGCCAAGGCTTCACGGGTCCCGTAAATCCTAGCCCTCTACCCCTTCACGCTCAGGCCCAGATCGTGTATGGTCCTCGACCCGTGAGAAAGCCTAGAGGACCCCAACGCCCCGGTGATCCAATCTTCACTCAGCAGCAGCTAAGTTATGAAGAATACTTGGAGAACAAACGGGCCTCAGACCGTGCCTATGCTATGCAATGCCGCGATCGCCAGGCGAGACGTTTCCACCGACAGAGAGCTCAGCCCTCAGCCGGCTCCCAAATGACAGCGCCCCCCAATGCAGCGATGGTCCCTCAAGTGATGCCAATCCCTCAAGCAACTACAACTGGTGCGGCTCAGGGATGTTAATCACTTACCCAATATCTTCTATTGAGTGTCAACCCCGGAAAGGGGGGAGATAAGAAGATAGATGAAGCTGTCTTTAGCTGGATTCTGTCTACTATAAGAACAAACCGTTTCTTATTGTACTGCGGAAATATCTTCATTCACGGTTGCAACCCTTTTCTTTGACGGTATCATATCCTTGGACGGGCCTGCGATTGAGGGAAGATGATCTCTACCAACTACTACAGTGTCAGATTAGCGGCACAATTTTACATGTTCGGTAGTGATAATTTCCGTATTGCGACGGTTCATTCGTCTTTACTTCAACTTCACTACGTGTTCTACCTCTGGTTTACTTAGTCTGGCAGTCTTGCGGTTGGTTTTACACGTTATGCCCAGGCTTTTCTTTTTCGGACTTTTTATGATCACATTTTCACTAGCAACGTTCAACTATCGCCTAAGAAGGATACCCCGGTGACGCTGCTTTCACCGCATCGAATGCATGGTGCTCACACCCCTATTCTACATCCGCATGTTGTCCAAAGGAGGGAGAGTGGCCGGGCTAGGGACATTGAATAGGATCTCCCTATCCAGTATGCGGTACTTTACTTGGCATATTGAGGCAAACTTCGCATTATTTTAGTGAAGTCTCAAAGGAGTTGACTTTTTTTTTACTCCAAAGTAAGTTGCCAGTCATTCTATCATTGCACTTTCGGTTCGCTAATATGTTTTAGTCGGATCATAACTTTTTACATGCCCTAATTTCCAATAGGCGGGAAATACTGGCATTACGTGTATAAAGAAGGTCCCGTTCGATACGGTTTCCTCAACTCTCAGTCGATCTCCAAGTCCAAGCCATTAGCAACAGGCTTGTCAGACAGCGATATAGATACGTTAAGCGGACGAACGAGAACTAAACAACAGGCTGGCACCACATGGAATCAGTAGAGGGCGGAGATATCATCATCTGGCCCCAACTCAGCGCGTCTAGTTCAAGAACATTCTTTTAGGTTCTCTTGTTTATACTAGGTTACTCTCAAGGCAAGCGGCATACACATTGACGATCCTGAATTAAGTGTCGCTCATGGCCAACCAACTTACAACTTTGGCCATGGCATCCCGGGGGAAGGAAAAGGGGGTAGGAGTTGAATGTGATTTTGACGAGGCACAGAAATGGTGGCTTGGATGTTCCATCAAGCCGGTCTTGAGTTACAGCTGACATCAGGATTCGGAAGCGTTATGTGGTTGATTGCCAGGATAAATCATGATACCCTCTAAGGAAATATATACTTAGGTAGAGGCTTGCTTTTTGCTGTCCAATTAAGTTGGCCAATGATTTTATTTATTTATTACAAAACGGTTGACATGCCATTTGCAGAATTGTGACATTTATCTGTGCCACGATATGATTCATACAAGTTGTGAATAATGTTGCAAACCGTGAATGTATGCTACATAGATGCGTATCTAGGTAGTCTATGCGGCTGAACTGTCGATCTTGAAGTTCGTAGGAGTCTGACGAATCGGATCTTTAGAGACTTTACCAAGTATTTTCAATTGGTGGCTTACATAAGGCAGAATGTATGCGGGTCTATGAAGACTAGCGCGTCTGCTACCTAGCTCTTGCGCGTCAAGCTTACAGCATCCCCCCACTACAATGGGAACCACAATAGGAAGCCTTTCATAAGCTTGTGAGCTTAGAGAATTAACCTTTATCTTTAACACATTTAACACATGGAACGGTGGTAAATCTCAACCTACTTTCCCAGCTATCTTTCTCCAGGTTACTTTTAGGGTAATACTCGGAATCAAAGGAAAATACGGTTAATTGATAATATTCGAGAATGCGCTTCGCTCGTCTCGTACACGATTTTATTTTATTTTTTGGTCGCTAGTACATTTCTATGATTCCCTTCTCACTTACTTCGATTGTATTAGTCTGATATAATCTCTTCTCTTTCCTCATCTTTACGAACTTATTAATCAGTCGCCCCAAATACTGTCGCAGTTGCCGTCCTCCTCCCGTCGCTACCGTCGCAATGTCGACTCCGATGCGCCACGGCCCTTCCCAGCAGGGTCGTACGCCCTCCCAACATCCAGCCGCGGCTCCTACGCCTCAAGCCTCAACACCCTTCTCGACTTCCCAAAACGCCGCGGTTTTCTCTCCTCGTGGGCCTAAGTCGTCGCCGCAGCAGTTTAAGAAATCTCCGGCAACTGGGACCTCGGGTACTATGATCGGTACTGCTAGTTCAACAGCAAACTTCGATAGTCCATCCGCTGCTGCTGCTTATAACACTTTAGGAATGGCCATAAACGATCTCAACTTAGATAATATCAGCGTTGGAGGACTAGTTGCTGCTGCGGGACGAACGGACGAAGAGGATCGAAAAAAGAGAATGGAGGCTGTCATTGCGGCCCTTTGGGTAGGTGATAGTTGATACTATCAGGATCGGAACTGGGGGCTAACCATAATATAGGCCCAGAATAGCAGCAGAGTGAGCAACCAGGGACTAGAGAGGTTGGCTATTCACCTTAATCTCGAGTGTCTATGGGAAGATATCAAAGGTGCCGGCGAGAATGCCAAGACTCTGATCATAGCAGGACAGACAGTGGCTGTCGAAGTCGGTATTACTAATCACATCGTACACCAGGCCGCTTTGGTGTATACAGACTCTATACCAATCGTTGACAAGCACGTTGACAAGGCGTCGGCTATCCTTCTGAAAGATCTCTCGCTCGCCCCTGGCCAGAGTCCCTTGACCAAGAGACTTACACAATTCCGAGCAAATCTTGAGCGCCTAGCTAACTTAGATAAGCTGAGCGTCTCTCCAGGTCTTAACTGCCACGAAGCTATAGCAGGCATCTGGGAGAGCCTAGAGAGACTTCACCGATGGGATGTACAGAAGCTTCGCGAGGATCCATCCCTGAGTGATATATCCGACGAAAACCTAAGAGTTTATGCTCTTTGCCTTCGCCATGGATGTCCCCTCATGCATACTCGGGGTCGGATCGGCTTAAGCCTCGACTACTGGAAAGAGAGAAGAAAACTCAAGTCTACAACAATAGATAGCGAAGACGCCCAAACGTGGGGGATTTTGATCGAGTGTGCAGCTTCCAATAGCATGGTCTATAACAGCCCGATACGGGTGTCTGACAAATGGATTGGAGACGGAATCGAGAAATCCAACCTCACGGACGAGGAAATGATATCAGCTACTGGTCCAGTTTTGGATTGGATAGAGCCGCCTAACACCCTTTTACCGTCCTCGGAAGAGTCAAAGGAACATGGGCTTGAAGGTCCTGTAGGCCTATCCGGTCTTAAGCCACCTGATGTCGTATTTATGGCGACCTTTGACCCACCGGTGGTAGTCTCGCATGCTGTTGCATTAGAGATTTATAAGATTTCGGCAACCAATGCACCCCTATCAAACATGACATTTGACGCACTGATATTTCCCATCGTTAACGGCAGCTCCTACGACCCTAGCGAACCGCGCGAGGTGGTATTCACACAGACAGTTCCCACATTTATCAACAATATCCATGGCGAGTCTCAGCTAGAGCCTGTATTAAAAGCGCACCGTAACACACTATTCATATATAAGCCAGTCTACGGGCAAGTCCTCAGCCAAATTCCGTTCTCGCATCCGAAGGATCTAGTCATGCTGCTCCCTGTGCTCCGCCAATATTCCTTCCTCTCCCTCCTCCTAGCCAACAGCTTTAAATCCAAGGGCGACAAGCCCACCGCAAAAGAAGCAGACGAGGACAATGACGCTCGCTTGTCGCGTACCAAGCACAACGAGTTCAACGACTTCATGGCGCGACCTGATACGAAGAGCTCCGCTGATAAGGCCCTTAAAGTCGATATTACTCTCACGGCTCACCCCGTCCCCCGCCTCGCGCTCGTGTTCCCATTTAAAGCGCACACAGCCCACATCCTTATCGAGATCCAGCTCGGGGGCCGTGTACACATCGTTACGGATAATATCTTCGACGGTGACATGGGACATATCGGGGGGAATATCGGTAATAGGAAGAGGCTGAAGAGCGATTGGGAGCATGCACTGGAGACGATGGAGGATTTGGGGGCGTGGATTGAGGTTATTAGACATACGCTTGAGTAAGGGGAAGATAGGGGGATGTGCGAGTAGGAAAGAAGATGGGATTAATAGGATAGGATAGGTGGGTTTAGTAGGATAGGATGGATGAGGCGTGGGTGGATTGTAATAATAGGATGGGGATGGAGGTGAAGTTTAGTTACGACGGAGAAAGAGGAGGAGGAGGATTATGAGTGCATGTATGGTTATGATACCCCCTTTTCTTACATACGTCCCTGGCAGAGCAGAGCAGAGCAGAGCAGAGCAGAGCAGAGCAGGGTTAGGTACCTGAGTGAAAAACTGCCTCGTAGGGCCGGGACGGCGGTAGGAAGGAATTACGAAAATGGATAATGCGTTTGCCTACCTAACCTAATACATGCTATGCTGTTTTATTCATTCCAGTTCACCGATCGTGCTTCTATCTTTGGCTAGCCATGATCAATGTAAAGGTTAAGATTTGACTCTCGCTTTTAAATTTAAGAACGGGGTGAAATACCAATTGTAGTCTACCTGGCTACCGTCATAACCTGAGCTGATATCAGACTTCAATAAACATGCCAAACGAAACAGCACCATGAGTAAACCCATTCCTTCTAAACGCTAGTCTAGCATTCATTCGCACATACTATATACATACAGGCATCTAGATGACAAAACGGGCGCGCAACAGCAGCCTACTTTATATACCTACCTACTCATGATATATAAAAACAGGGCAAATAGTAACGGCAGTAGCAATTATATTCGCGCGTTACGCACCCCTTAGTAGGTCCGTGTCTCTGTCCCTGGCTGCTTCATGGTACATTGTATTAAGGCTTATCTACTGCTGCTTTCGTAGGTAATGCTATACCATGCGATCCGCGTCAAGCCAAGTTTTCGCTCAGTCTCCGTCATCGTCTTTGGGACAACAGACACGCAAGATCCCATCGTCTTTCCTCGCCGCACACCTTGATAACCGTTGCCCGAGACTATGCTCTATTCCTCCTCCTCCTGCTTCACCCTACCGATTCATGGGTTATTGGTTGGGGTAACACTAACTTTATATTACCTGGTCGTAGGATCCATATCTTGCTTTCGTTCGTATAACTGAGGTATCGATGAGGGGGATATTTGGGGGAATAATTAAGAAAAAAAAAATGGACGAGACACGCTAAAGGGAAGAAAAAGTTATATGTAAGTCTGGGCCCCCGGCTCTGCTCCTGGCCCTTACTAAGGAACCTCTAGCTGATAAGAATAGCTGGCTTGCTTATCGTTCAACGAAGAAGTATATAATGCCGTAGTTCGAGGCGAGAAGTGACACGATAGTCTGGTTGCTCCTGGAAAAGGAGAGCCAAATAACAAACGCTGTGGATCAAACGATGAACCGCTAAGCGCTCTGAGGAGAAGTTAAGATGGCTACACCATCGCTCTTCTCACTGTCGAATGTCGACTGCTTAGTTGTCGTGCTATCAATTTTCGAAAGCCCTAACTTCTCGAGACCGGAGACTGCACTATCAACCTCTCCAAACGAAATGCCCAGGCCATTCTTTTTCTCGTCATCGCCGTCCTTCGCACCTTCCTCGACCTTCTCGTCAAGATTCATTAGAGCGGGTGGTCGGTGGCGCATTGCACGTGCTTTGGTAAGCGATATTGTCTTCTGCTGGTATGTTGTTGTCATCGGCTGGGTATCGTCACGGTCAATGGTGGCCTTTACAAGAGCTGCCATCCATGTCCGTCCTTGCTGCAGATTTGGAACAGCAAAATAATGTATGGTTGGCTTGGTAAAATTGACTGCCTTGGAAAGCCCAGCTCGAGGAGGCATGAGCTTGAATATGAACATCGAATCTGTACCTTTCTCGGCAGGCGAAACGGCAACATTATCTGCAAGAGTTGGGAGGTTACTGTCGGCCGGCATGATTGGGGTGTTACTAGCTCCCGTCAATGTGGCGTGTAGCCCGGTGAGTCGTTCGTTATCGGCTGGCAACACGCGATGGAACGAGATGTCGATCAACCCTTTCTCCTCGGTATCGTCTTCCGAGTAATAATACGCTAGACGTCTTCCCTTGAGGACAAAGAGCCGCGGTTTCCATGTTGTCATTAGGTGTGAGCTTTTCTTCTTCATCCACCCACTATAATCTGCATCCTTAATTGCTTCGCGTGGGCCAATCTTCAGTAGGCCGCGGAGATAAGCACTTGTTTCCTGTTTCGTCTTTTTCCCGCTCTTGCGACTGGTGGTAGTAGCCACCGAGTATGGACTTTTTCCTGTGTCAGGGGAATCAATCTCGAAACTCGGGCCACCCGAAGGCGTACTCGAGCCGGCCCTAGATGGAGATCTCAAAGGCGAAGCCTGGGTAGAGGTATCGGTTGGCGACCCGACCTTCGTATTACCAATCATGGCATCGGAAATCGCCCTCAAGCCACTAAACTTACTACTGGCGTTGGACATCCAATCGCCATGAACGGCCTGTTGATTCGACGTCGAGGTAGGCGAGCCACCATCAAGCTTAGTGACTGTTGGGTTAGGAACATCCTTAGCAGGGGGGATAGGCCGCACAGATTCGGTAGTATTAGTAGAGGCTGTCCGTCTATGATCCCCAGATAGACTGTAATACATTTGCGCGGCGCTCGGAGGTGTCGAATCTCTAGTTGAATCAATACTTCCGAACCTGGAACGCCTGGCAATAGCTGTTGCGCTTCTAACGCGTTGCTGTTCTGTATAACTTGACTTGTGAGCATGTGCAGTGTTGCTTTCGCGCTTCTTAAGCACGTTGCGTTTTCGACCATCAACTTCAGTACCAGAGAAATAGCCACGATCAAGGTCAAGCGCCGGATTAGGTGCGACCTCTGTATCGGATATATTCACGGCGTCGCCTAATTCGGTTGATGATAATGGCCTTGGAGGGTTAGGAGAAGAAGCTGCACCCATAGTCCAGTTGCGGTCGAACGACGGTTGTTTCTTATGTGAAGACTCGGTCCGCGGAAAGGTACCTGAAGATGTAAGTTTCGGTGTTCCAGCATTGACTGGAGGGGCAAGTCTAAAATCGGTAGAGGAGTGCCGTCGCGAATGGTGTAGTTCTCGGACGGAGGCTGCCGAGGGTCTGTGGTGGTGCGACGGTCTTGTTGGGCTGTCTTGGGCGCCTCTGGGAGATCTGGGAGATCTGGGAGTTAGAGGCGCCATCGATTCCATTTTTGGTGTTTGAGAAAGACGTCTTGCATGAACTGAGCCTGGTCGACTCTCGGACGAAACCACTCTCTGCGAGTTTGTCAAGGTGTTTGACCTGCTCCTCACTCTTCCACCAACCTTGAAGTCCTCCGACCCCGCCTCACTACCATAGGTTTGCGTGGTTCGTCTCGTAAGAGTGCCAATCCCACTCACTTCATCCTGCAAATTTTTAATCTTTTGCCATGTCTTTAGTCGTCTCCCAACAGACCCAAGGTCGAACGCCTTAAGAAATAACGACGATTGATCCATGCCTAAAAGTACCTCGCCTGATATTTCCTGGTCCTGAAATACTTCACAATGCTTCTTCTCTACACCGAGAGTAAACAAATATTCTGCCACATCATCGGCAGTCCAAGCTTCGACTTCGTCACGAGTATGCAGGACTTCTTCCTCCTCGTCGGTCTCCTCGCCCTGGATATAAGAGAGTCGATCCGGTAGATGAGAACTATATTCGCTCCCGGAATCTGTTGTATGATGGAGTGCGCCGTTCTGCGGGGTCGAGTGCAGGTCTGTGATGTGCTCGTCGATAACTGTCAAAGTCTCATGCAACACTGGATTCTCCTGGCTCTGCGCATTGAGACGACCTAACCCTTCGCTGCTGCTACTACCGTATGCAAAGCTTTTGCTTATGAGAGGCGCTATAGGTGCAGGTGCCGTTTTCCCATCGGATTTGGTGGAATTTAGCGGTAGGGTTACGGGAGCAGCCTTTGGTGAAACAGATGGAGCGGCTTGCGGGGTCGAATTGCGATCCTGAGTCGGTGTAGTGGTCGATGCCGGTTGGCTGGGTACGGATGATGTTCCATTGGTGGATGAGAGCGAACTCGCGATCGGTCTGGGACCGGTAGGTGAAGCCGCGACACCCCTTGGTGCCGGTCGCGTATATACTACAGAGGACCGATCAGTTGCGATTCTGTCGCAAGTTGTACGCAGTCTTCCCTGCGGTAACACTGCTTACCTTCTGGAAACAAGCCACTATTACCATTCACCATATGGCGACCCAAAAACCACCCATCACCGAACTCGTCATCGCGTTCGATTAATTCAACACGATCGCCCTTTGCTAGACTCAATTCGTCGGAGCTTCTAGCCTGGAAGTCATCTAAAGATTTACCCCGTTAAATGGAGTTCTTTCATTTGCGCAAAACATGGTATTGGGATTTTCCCATATCTTTTGTAATCAAATTGCAGATACGAATGTCTCAAATAATGAAAGGAGACCAAACTTACGGATGACCACCAAAATATCACCAGCGTCTGGTCTCGCCATGATGTCTACGACGGGATTGCGCGTGGTGAGGACTCGAAGATTACGTCGGACTCAGGGGAGTGGCATTGAACAACGGCCGTGTAAACACCTAGGGCTGAAAGAAAAGGTGGCGATCCTGATCCGGCTCCTGATTCCGAATGGACTGCGGAGTCTATCGAAGACCTGACTCGAACAATGTTTCAATGGTGACGAAATGCATCGATAAAAGCGGCCTTTGATATGGAGAAGAAGAAAAAAAGACTACTACAAAATAATATATACGAGAAAGGGTCGGGTGGGAGTACAATCGTCTCGTGTTATTTTGGCTGTGGATCTATGTCGCCTCTACCGTCGCCTTCAGCCCTTCGGATTTGGGACTTCGAGTTTTGGCTAGAACCTGAGGACCGTTGTCCAATTGGGTGTTCCCTCCTTTTTACCGTCCTAGTCGCACCAAACTCGCAAGCACAAGAAAAAACAACCCAGACTAGGGGAAATGAATGGACGAGGCACAGGCCTACGTCGCTCGGTAAATGCACATAGGAGTAAAGAGGGGGGAGGAAGAAAAAAGGGATGTAACCAATATCTATCTCTTGAAGGAAAACGCAGACGATGATGTAGTGTTTTCTTGAGGACTGAATTGAAGGATATGGAGGGTATAGATTTGGTGAGGAACCTATTGTAGGATTTGAGCGCGGATGGATGGGATCATGGATGGGATGAGAGAAACCAACCCGTTTGGATGGGTTTTAGTGGACGGATCACGGAGTGAGCTGTGAGGGGTCTTTTTCTTACTAGGGTCTTATGGATCCACATGTATGTATGTAGTTATCCGTTAAACATGTAAGCTCCCTAACCAAAACCGGGCCATGTATGTAGGTACCTACCTATGTTATGTTGTATGGAAGGACGTACCGCGGCGCCTTAATTACCAGGTAAGAGGTAGTCACACCTATTACAGCTCTTAGTATAACATATAAGTTTTCAATATGCCTCCTTTCTTAAGAGTATTAAATGCTCGGTTATTTATTTCTCTTTTTGGTGTTAACCCCGATCTCCTTTTAGTTGACTAATTTTATGTATATGTGTGTAATGTAATGTTTAGCTTTTTTCCACCCAGTTGTTAGCTTAATATCATAGTTAACTACCTGTTAAATACTAGTTGGATACTTTATATCCCCGAATCTTCGGCGCCCGAGGTAGTTGACTAAGTTGAATCTAAGAAATATAAAATGAGATGAGCATTTTTGACAAGTACGCAATTACATCAAAACGCATCCGACATCTACTAAAGGTCTAAACCTGCTCAAAGCAAAGATAAGAATGATGCATGAACAAAATAAAGTGAAAACATTGATCGGGAATTCAGACCTCTTCTTAAAGATGTGCCTTGAGTACCGAGATATCCACCACTGGTTTGTTTTCGGGGCCATGCAGGGCAAGGCCCGATTTCTAAGATCGCCAAGGGCCGGCCTTGTAATCCAGTCCCGAGACCATTCCGACTACTGAAAGTAAAGTACCTACCTGATGATGTAGTCTCGGCAATTGAAAATTAGTCTACCCGGTTGTTTTAGGTATTTATAACGCCGTTTTAAGAGGGTTAACATAAGGCTTATATACATATGATCAAATATCAAACCTATACGAGGTAGGTATTATATACTTGGGTATGTATAGGACATTGGCTGAAGCAAGGGAGTTGATGAGTTGAATTAGGTACTGTCATGTTGTGATCGTAAATATGTTGGTTAGGCTTTATGTACCTTCAACAATCGGGCAGGCTTTACATGTAGGTACCTACAAGTAGATAAGTGCAACTTTCATCGTTTTTCATGCATGCTAATAAGGAAACTACTCCGCAGAAGTGCCTTATCCTTGGAGTAAATAGCACGTAATACCTACATGTATGTATGTACATGTGTACCAGGGGTAACTTCCACGACTTGGTTGTTTCCTTCAGGACCTCACCTCACACTAGTACACACTAGAGATCTAAACGTCGATCCGTACCATGTATGTAGGCCTTGGACCCAGCTGTCACATCCTTGCACGGCAGTAGCTGCCAGGGCTGCCAAATTGTTTGTAGCCGCCTACAACCGCCGTGAACTTGACCCTTGAACTTGAATTTGAACTTCCACTATCTACATTCACCCACCCACCGCCGCGCCGACGTTTGACAACTCAACCATTTGTATATGGACATCTTCAATAGCCGAACACGTAGCCTCCATTCCGATCTATCGTTGTCCTTATATACTCTTATCATTTCCTATATTACTTATGGTGCGTTTGTTCCTCTAACTAGCTGAATAGTGCTTTCTTCTTGTGTTTATCTTTTATAGCTTTAGATTAGACTCGCCTGTAATTATTTTATATTGACATATGATTTCCCAACTATAGTATTCCGCACTTAGACATTCACGATACCGAGGGGGACACCAAGGTCAAGTTGTAAAGAAATTACTAGAAATCACGAATGACTGATGGCGCCAACTGGGGGGCAACGATCAGGAACGGAGACCGGGACGAGATCAAATATAAACTCGAATGTGTCGTCGGACAGACAAGTTGCAGCATCAAATTCTACTCTAAATGCCTGGGTCGGTCGTCGACAACCTTCATGGCTTACCAACGCAAAACCCGTGAAGCCTTCTCCCCGTCCTCCACAACCGCCTAAGCAACCTATTACCACGGAGACTGTGCGCCCCATTGTCGAGACAACCCAGCCCGTCTCAGTCCCAATCTCTGATATCCCGGTGACGACGACTACTCCTACCCCACTTCGACAACCTCGTCGTCCTCAACCTCCGCCTGAACCTCCGCTATTACAAACACAAACACAAATACAACAACCGCAAACATCGTAAGCTATATTCTAATACTATCACCGCCCACGCGTCGCGACCCTTTCTAGATGCCCACCTAAATCACCTCCCCAACTCTCAGGATAAGCCACCCACCGCCTGTTTTATAGTTACTAACCACTACATCCTATGACGCGATAGAACTTCGGCTACGCGTACCGTACTTCCGTCGCCTGCCCCTAGTGACGAGCCTAGTCCAGGCGCCACCAAACCTCCAAGTGTGCCTGCAGTAGCCGGACCTCAACTCATCCTTAATACCACTTTGGATGACGAGCAACAAGCTCGAACCCGGGTCCCTACACCCCGTCTACAGACAATATTGCAACAAAACAGAGAGATATCAGTGTCCCCGAGGGCATCCACCCCTGCTAGCATGTCCCTCAATACGCCTCCTACACCGAATTTGTCATTACCCAATAGTAACTTGGTACTCTTAGAGGACCCACCTGCTAAGAGGCAGCGTCTTGGGTATGTATGAAGCCTAGCTATCTTGCAACAATCGTGGTTAACGATATTGGAGAGTTTGATAACTAATAGTATTTGCTATTTTAGCCACCCTACGCTCCAGTTCCTCGCCGAGTGTGGAGCAGTTAGAGTGCTCAACAACCGTCTTCAATCTATAGGGGGGGTACAGAGTCTAGACCCGGCAGTTGAGCGGCCCCGATATCAACTCTTACTAGACTCTTCTGAATCGGGTGACCTCTTCTTCATCGTATTGCACCAGGTCTTTTGTATCTGGTCTAGAAACCGAGCGCAAGCTCGTGATATTTGCAAGAATTATGCGCGCGACCCAGGAGAGATGGACAAGGGGTTCAGCAACCTGGAAATGATTATTAAGAGCAACACCAAACTAAATCCAGACCACATCAATTTCTTAGCTGAGTTTCCAGCTCCGCTAGATGAATTACTGATCAAGGCTAGGTATAAGGCCACTCTGGGGCGAGTACTTAATTTCCTCCACCGAATGGCTCTTAATTGGCACAGAGTATTCAAAGATCACCGAGCAAAGGGCTACCCTTTTCTCCTGGGCGAGCTCCTTGATGAATTTCTACTATACTCCCCCATACTCCAGGGAATAATGTTTCGCGCCTCGAGGAGGAGCATAGGGGCCGGAGATGGACCTACTGCAAAGCGTATGGAGATGATATTCAAGTCAGACCAGGACTATCATCTTAATTATCCTAACGACTTCGCTATAAAGCCCCAACCCCTAAGGTACCAAGCGCACAACGAAAGTCTCATCACCGCGTATATGTCTATCCTTGTTTCCGCGTACCAGTCACAGGGCTATCTAGTGGGCCAACAATCCCATCCGACTGGACCGCCTAATATCCAGCAATCAAACCAATACCCTTACCCGAATATTCAGATGGGTTCTCAGACCAATTCCCAATTCATTTCCCACGCGAATCCTCAGATGGGTGGCCAGATAAACCCTCAGTTTGACCCTCAGGCGAACTACATGGCGAATCCCCAGATCAGTCTTCAGATGAACACTCAACTCAACCGACAAGTAGATCCCCGGGTGAATTCCCAGGTGGGTTATCAGATGAATCCTCAAATGCGGCAGAATTTCTATCAGGGTCCCCTACGAGCACCTCAGGTTACCGATCCTGCTCTTATTCAAGGTACGATGCCGGTTGCGATACCGCCTTCGTACATACTATCTTCAAACGCCAATCCAGCCAATAGTTTAACAGCGACAACACCGTTACAGCCAAATCCTGATTATCAGAGGATATGTACACCCATACAGTCTGTTCAATTTAGTCACATACAGCATCAAACAGTGAGGAGACTCTCTCAACCGGATTCTTATATGGCGCCGGCATCTCCACGACCTACTACTCCTGCTTTGACAGGTGCGTACGGCGGTCAACCTCGTCAGGTTCATGTCGCTAGACAACGAACACAGAGCCTACATAGACTCAACAGTCAGTCCGGGCTCTTTCTTCCTAGTCACCTAAATTCTGGATCCCAAAATCCAGACTGCGGCAATTACAATTCCGCACCAAATACACCGACGACTCCGCAGCTAAGGTATTCCACGAATCAGCTTCAAGGAAATCAACTCCAGGGGCCTAATTATAGTCAATCACTTTCGGATCCCCGGTTGCAACACAAAACACCATTCGTCGATTATGACCGTAGCCTTGACCGTCTAATTCCGGCGCCCGGTGTGACCATCGATCGGCGAGACTATCCTTATAATCAGTATGACAGGAATTCTGTTGCGATGTCTCTTCATCAGGTTCATCTGAGAAGCCCGAAGCGAATGCCACAAGAACATGACCCGGCAAAGTTAGGAAGGTATTATCAAGCAGTCAAAGAGTTCGCGCTCCCCCCAGTCGCGATCCCGCCTCAGTCATATCTGCATGAGTTCGATTTTGACATCCCGGGGCATCAGTTTATTCAGCTGGTAAGGGAAGAGGCTAAACAAGGCGAATACTTGCCTGTATGTTTATTCTCCAGTGGATCTCTACGTCTCCGCGTTCGATGCTGTCACATGAAGAAGACGCATACCTCTCTCGGCGACGCTTGGATTACTACCGAAACAACTTGGCCGCAACACATTTTTATGGAACTGAACAATAAGACACTCAGTATCCCTCGGAAGTCGCATTTTTCTAAGGATTTACCGATTGAGGCTTCCTCGGCCGCTATCGCAAACAAGAACATACTCAAAGTCTCTGTTCCAAAGACTGGTGAAGACAAAGAAGAACCCAGACCCAAACCCGGTTGGGAATTTTATATTGCAATCGAGCTCATTGAAATTCTCAGTCACCGTGATGTGCTTCAGATGGTTGGAATGTCTGGAGGAGTACCAGCAGATACGACACGAGAGGTGATCAGGACCCGCCTTGTGGGAGCAAATGGGTCCTCCCAAAAATTTGCGGACGAAGATGAACTTGTGATGCTGAACGAATTATCTATCGATCTCATAGATCCTTTCTCCAGGGTCATGATCAAAGTTCCCGTTCGTGGGAAGTCATGCACGCACCTCGAGTGCTTTGATCTCGAAACCTGGTTAAATTCTCGGTTGGGTAAGAAATCGTGCAACTGGTGTAACAACGCTCCCGGGGGCTGTTCGAAATGTCCCAACGAACCGTCTTTCGTGGACAAATGGAAGTGTCCACTTTGCCTCGCTGATGCGCGACCCTACAACCTCGTCATCGATGAGTTTCTTGTCGAAGTACGCTCGCAGCTGGAGCATCTGAATCTATTACAGACGAAGTCAATCCTTGTTTCCCCAGATGGGACGTGGAAACCGAAGGAGCAACCAGCGGACGACGATGGAGACGTTGATAGTGAGGACGATGGTAACGTATCAACCGGAAGACTATCCAGAACACACCAGCGCATGGAATCTGGAATTGAGGTTATCGAAATTGATTGATTCAAGTCCCATACAGAGGAAATTAGAGGATATCGAGAAGAGGGTGCGTTCCCAGCAATAGATCGTCAGCTTTAGATCCAGCCCGGGCAATGAAGCAACCACAATAACATGAGACCAGGATGTGTCTGAAATTTCACCTTGTATTTTGTTTCTTTTGACCATTTCTTTTGCTCGGATATGGATTCACTACGGCAATCGTTCGTTCGAACTGATACCCCTCTGCATACCCCATGTTTTGCGACGCGGAGTTTTTCGACGATAACGATTTTCTTTTCCCGGTCATGCGTCTACATAGTGTTGATCACCGTTATGCAAAAGAGCGAAGAGGACATGTCTAGGTCATCGGACACTAGCAATGGAAAGGGGAACAGGACGAGCCGGTTAGGAAAAGGGGAAAGGCGTATACGTCTGTATTTGTGCAAGTACGTCTACGGACTACTTACGTTGAGTTTGCGGTCTATTACATAGGTACGTAGCGGGGACATCTCGTCTAGGGAGTCGTCAGCTAAGTCAACAGCGAGCGTCTACTTGACTATACACAATACGCACTTTCTAAGTGGCAACGTTTATGAATAGGAGGTCGGTTTTGTCGGCGTTTTGAGTCAACGATACGAAAATAGGAGCGGATAGTATGTGATGTTAGGGACTACTAGCATTTGCTCTGGCGATGATGTGTCTTTATTCTTGTGGCACCTCACGGGTGTCCTGAGGCGTATAGCTTCTTACTCGTGTATCCCCGTTCATATTAAAGGTTGCCTTTTTCTTTTACAAGGAAGACATCAGTGCGTTTCAGACAGACAGACGCGGCTTTCTGTAGTAGGCAAGACCGCAATGGCGAAAGATATTTATCTACTCTGATAATTGCGGCGGTATGATGTAGAAGGTCTAATTGTAGATTGTTAATGTAGGGTAACGATACAACACTTATCCTAGCTAGAAAGCTCACTCGGGTGGGCGTTTTAGCATCACGGTGGCTCCTTTCTGTAGATTTTATTGCTATGCGATGGGATTTTTAACACTGGGATGGTCCCCAAGATCACGATGTCTTATCCTCATTTCGCATAGCCCTATAAACTAGATCAATGCGTGTTGACCCAAGCTAATTTACCCGATACCTAATGCTAATATAGTATGCGTAAGGAATAAAATAGTCTTACCTTCCTAGTTAGTCTAGATACAAAAAGACACCATCATCTTAACCAACTACAACCTCAGGCCATTCTTGCAAATAGTTTTTGGCGGGGCGTGGTATACGAAGCAAGTGATTCGACCATAACAGACCCACGACACGACGAGCCCCTCTTCGTATTTGCGACTAGCTTTAATCGCACGTAGCCGCGTCATTCTTTACGACGACGACCCGTAGTCTAATAGTCTAAGAGAGCTTTTGGTTTTGGGCTTGTGTACGGAATAGAGGGGAGGGGAGGAATGGGTTGAGAATATTTCTTGGGGAATGTTGTTAGCTCGAGATCCTGTGGTGTGAACAATACGGTAAACCTCAGGTCCATCTACGAAATTAACCATACTTACACTCACACACAGTAATCAGGTAGGTACCTTTTAAATAAATCACAGACTCCTACTCAACACCTAAATCTACGAGCCCAAGTAATTTTCATTTTCGATTTTATTCTTTCCGCGACCCAACCCAACCCTACGCCTATAAGAACCAAAGCCCAAGCCCGCTATAATAGTAGATAGTTACAACCGCGGAGGCGTAAAAAAAAAAGATAGGACAAGACAAGACAAGACAAGACAAGCAAACGCTTCCGTTTTCCTATCTTAACCCCCTTTTACCATTGTGCCAAAAAGTACCCGGGGGCTCTACACGTGCGCCAAAGAGAAATATGCCCGCCTGTGCTTCATACCGGTCGATCTACAAGGACTCTAGCTCCTACTTGACGATTGGCCAGCGTTGGGGCCGGGTTTCCGGGTAGTCCTCTCCGGCTCCGAGTCGTCCTCGTCCTCGTCTTCGCTTTCGCTATCGCTTGCGTTTCCCACGCTATAATGCTTTTCCTTACCCGCACCTGCGTCTCTGGGTGTTGTGATATGTAAATCGTCTAACTCTCCTTCGTCAAAATCGCCCGTCTCCAAATCGCGATTGTTTGCTGCCCTCCGGGTACGGAAGCCCTCCAGCCCGGTGGCGCGCGGGAGGTCGGATAGTATAGGCAGACCTGAGTACCCGACGGTTCGGCGGCGACCGCGCCAGATCATGTAGCCCCAGATAGTAGCGCCGACAACTACGATGACTAGGACGACTTCGCCTGATCTCTGGTAAGCGGCCCACTTGGCGTCGCTGACCTCCTTGTCCTTAGCCGCCTGGTCGGACTCGGTGTGGTTGGTAGCACCGCCTACAGTAGTATCAGGTAGTTTCTCGCCATCGAGGAAACTCTTCGAGGGTATACCCCCGATTTTGCTGATGTCGACTCCCATGAACCGGTCAAGCATATCGCGGGTTCGGCGCGGATAGTCGAAAGGTACCATATGCGACGAGTTGTACAACAGTACATAGGTTAAGTTACGAGCTTCCTGCCAGAAGCCGGCCGGCTCACCCTCAAAGGTCCAATCGCGTCGCGGAGCCCAGTTTCCGGGGGATAATTCAAACCCTTTCCCACCGTTCCACTGCATGTTGCTTATAAAGGCTTCCGTACCCAGATGGTTGCATATAAGGTCTTCCGCACCCGAAAAGAGAAGCACATTTACTTCCTTTATGAGGTCCGGTAGAAATTCGATAGACGGCTTTCCGGCATTTCCCCTGAGCGCATTGCCAACAAGACCGTTACACTCGGCCCATCCCGTAGCTTTATTCTGGTCAATGTGTAGTGCACTGACCACTTCTGGCTTTCGAAGGTAGGGCGTAACGAATCCTAGGTCCGGGGGCCAGTTCATACCACAGCTCGGATACACATCCTTGAGTCGGACGTCGTACATGTTGAAACATTCGTTATTACCCCCTGAACCTTTTGTTTGGGTTAGGCGGAGAATTTCCTGGAGCACCTTTTCGCAAGTATCGACATCCACACGATGAGCACCAGATGAAGCCAAATCCTTTTTACACTCACGGTATTGAGCCTCAATCCCGGCCGCTAAGTCGGAACCCTTCGTGACAATGTTCTTTTCGTATGCGAATGATAGGTATGCTTCGTACTGCTCCGGAGGGGAGATCCAGCCATTTCCGATCAACAGGCCTTTGAGATTCCACGGAGTTTGGGTTTGAGGTAGCTTGTTTCGCTCGAGGATCGCCTTTGCGATGTAGGGGATGTGCTGTCCGGCGAACGATTCACCCGCGATGTAAAGCTAGAGAATTAGTTAATATATTGCAATAGAGGGGAATTGTGGATTTTTACATCATCGTGCTCGTATTCCGGGAAGAGATTGTACCATTTTTCGAGGAAGGTAACGAATTGGCTCGCCATATCATCGAGGTTTTGTACGAAGCTGTTGGTATCGACATAACTGTATCCAGTTCCCACGGGGTTATCGACGAAAAGCAGATTCGCAAATTCATTCCAGCTGCCATTGTTATACTGTAAGGTGTTCTCGTCCTTCAAGCGATAGGGACCGATCTCCATCAATGCGCCATCTTCAGAACTGCAGCCGGGTCCTCCGTTTAGCCATATGACGGTGCGCTGTCGATTTGCAATGTGCTGGTTCTGAAAATGCCAGAAGAAAATGTTCCCGTTGTGCTCTGGTGTGATCTCGACGTGTCTATGCGCGAAGGGTGAGAGTCAGTAAGGCAAGTTGGTAATATATAGTATAGAACGCTGATGGGTGTCAGGGGTCTTCACTCACCCAGCATGCATCTTAATCATGTCCCCCTCGGGTATACCTGGTAACGAGTGGACATAATAGTCTCCAGCACTCTTTTCGGCGTTGGTTATCGATGTCCAGCAGGCCAGTCCGAGAAGTGCGCCGGCGGCAACGCGCACCGAGCTCCAGAGCGAAGCTGGAGGAGGCATAATCGCAAACGCCGAAAAGGATTCTCGGGTTCTCACTATGACGTTGACATCCGTTATCTATCTAATACATCCATCAAACTGCTCGACTGGTTGTTTTTTCGAACAGATTGAAGTTATAGAAAAAGGTAACAAATGTAAGGTTAGTAGCTAAAAGTGATTACGATTGAGAGTACGAAATACAGCGCACTCAATCTATGATTTTAGGATAAGGAAGGCGAAGGTGGCCTCTGTAATCCGTACAAGACGGGCTAAGCCAGGTTTTTTAGGGATGTATCCTTCTTACGATAGCGGCTAATAAGGGTCGTACGGATCAATGCGGCAGTGGCAGTTGCAACTTGCGGCTCGATGTGGATGCAAAAGCAGGGGCGGCTTACGTGGTTAGTCTTTTGATCTTCTTACAGCCAATCAATTTCAATATTAAGCAAAACACCTCGATAAAAGAATACTAAGGTAAATATGAGATATCTTAGTACCAAAATGCATTAAATTTCGAGCATGCGAGCTCATTCCTAATTGTCTCATATCATAACAACATAATACTGATATCACAAGGTGAACGGGCCAGGCAAGTGCAAGGTGAGAGAGACTGACCAAACCCGCGTTGGCGCCGGACTGCATAAACCAAAACCAAAACCAAAACCAAAGCCAAAACCAAAGCCAAAACCTTCACCTTTTTTCTTTTTACAACACTTACTTACCTACCTCGGGTAATCAACCTCTACACATAGGTCTTCATACGCATCGCACAAGCTTCTCTACACATGATACTATAGCAGCAGTGCCATTATCACCAGTTCTGCGGCTTTGAAGAAGACTCGTGTTGTCTTGCTTCATTTCCGGTGGAGGTGGCAACAATTCTCATTTATATCACTCCAACCTATATTTCACTATTTCTCCTTTCCAAACAATGCTTCGGCTGCGCGATATTCAGACTTTCGGTTAGATAATTTCCAAGGAATCGGTTGATATCGCCGCATTAGGGCATGGCGGCAATGATATCAACCTCAGAAATCTCACACCCCGAAGCAGTACAGTCCCTACCTCGGCCATTGCGCCATTTCTCGAAAGCTATTCTCGCATCATCGTGCAGGCGAGGTACGGTATGATACCAAATGCCATACTAACCAAACATATTCCCAGCTGTGTATTGTACGGAAGACAGACATCTCGAGAGTCGCAAACTAATATCGCATGATTTCCTAAACGCCTTCGCCTTTGTTATACGGATGAGGTTGGGGTATATTCCTATATATACCGTACACTCCCAAGCCCCCATCAAAAACCCAGAACTGAAATGACGTGAAACACGACTCATGCACCCTATATGTCTTTTTCTTCCAACTTGAACCCTTATGAAAACTTCATACGGTTCATTACACCATTACGACGCCCTTCCGCTGAAGGCTGCTTGTTTCGTTTGCCTAAAGGGTGAGACTAAGGAAAGCCGAAGTATCTTATGACGGTAGATACTTATTCTGACTAGACATGATATCCAGCGCACCGGTGAGCGAAGCAGTTTTCGCTAAGTGTATCGGGCGAGGGAGACACCCTTAACCTTCGCGCTCGAAGTCAGAGTGATATAAACCGTCAGGGGTCACTCTCGAAACGTATGCTATGATCATGTCAGCGTGTATCGAACCAGGTTGCAGACAACAGGATAGTGACGCTACCTGAAGAAGTCCATCAAAGAAGGCTATTAAGCCAGATGGCCCAGGTAGATTGACTAACCCCTATTTCCTCCGCCTTTTTCTCAGCATGATAGCAATTCTGTATACTCGCCGAGGAATACAGACTAATCTGCTGTCTTATACTATCTTCACTATTCCCACGGCGCCCGAGCGATATAGTTGACCATTCCGTTCAACGCATTATCGCCTTCTTCCTCGGTAATAAGTTTTGCGTCTTGAAGCGTCGTCAAAACGTCTCCAACCCAGCTCTGGCAGTTCCAATCCAGCTCGGTATTGTTCACGTGAGTCCCAAGAATTGCGTCGCGTAGCCGCGTATCGGGCTCCGAACTAGTCTCAACTGTCGCAACTGCAAGTCGCCGATAGAAATGCGGCCTCGTTCGCGGGTGAGCTTGGTTCCATACTTCATTCACACTATAGTGAGGGTAGCTGCCCTGGATTCGGATGGTGAGGTTTTTATTCTCGTTATCGTCGAAGACTATACACAGCTCGGTGACTCGGGTAGACTGGATATCGCGAGGATAACCCCGGAATATTAGGATCCAGAGCGTTTGCGAGTGGCCGACGGCATTTGGATTCCCCTGATCACCATCCCGTTGAGTCTGCTGGTTTCTGTCCTTGCCGTTGTTTCCGTCCCGGCGTCCGGCCGTGCTTGAGACGATACCCATTGGAGCCTTGAGCATTAGAGGAGTACTAGAACTACCTGGGTAGGCCCTGGCGTCCGGTGGTTCTTTCGCAAAGCTTACTATGGCCGACGAGTGTTTTGTCTCTTTAAGGGTCAGACCGTGTAGATCATATCCTGGGTCGAATACGGCGATGGACGACCGGCCTTTGTCGTGACAAGTTCTAATTGTTGCAACGCGAACGGGTAGTTGTCTTTGTCTTGTCGTTATCGATGGGAGGCTTTCAGGAACAGCAGAAATCTGGCCCACCCCCAAAAGGATGTGCGGGTGGTGGTAGTGGCCTTTACAGACACACCCACTCTGCCTACCTACCTACCTAGGTACAAAAGGCAGAGCAGCCAGTAGACTATCTTACATAGGTACTCACACAGCCCGAGCTTGCAGACAACCCCGGTAAAGCGATGACAATCACACCGCAAAGTTATTCTCCGATGTACAGGAAATCATCTAATTACACAGATCAAAACGATATATGCATACGATCACCGTGACTTGGCAGAATTTGGCCCCTCTCGAACCCACAAATTGGTACACTTGGAGACACCGAAGTTTGCCTGGTACAGAAGTCTACCGACAGGCACATTCAAAGAAACGGTGGAGTCTCCTACCTAGACATACATCAAGGTAACTTGTAACCCCGTTGTCTCCTCTAGACAAAGATTGCAGATGTGGCTAGAATGGCTTGCATGGATTATGCAGCCCGGCCCCATCGAGCGTTCTAGACTCAGGGATCGTTTCGGGTGAATAAGGTGACAAACGGGAAAGGATTGTAAGACCACCAGCGCTATACGATTTTGCGCTTCTTCCGACACCATTGTGTTCCTACTGTTTTACAGCTGACAGTCTAAACAATAGAATTGCCTCCGTTTCAGCTTAATTTGGCGCGAAAAAAAAAGTCTGCAAATTTTTTTAGCAGATGGAAGAGGACACGAGGTTCAAGGCGCAAAGAAAGGGCCAATAGAGGCGTACGCGCATATCATTCCTCCCTTAGGAGATGCACTTTCGCATCCAACTATGGGCCTAGCAGGAAAGATGGATGTCAGCTGTCGATCACTCATACGATTTGATCTCACATTCCTGCAGCTGTCCGATTGAGTACTATTAGACCGACTACCATATTTGTTGTCCGGCTTTCAAAACTGATGGTCGAAAGAATACCTATTATAATCCCTGAATTAGGTATTTTGGGGGGAAGCTTTATGCTCGTCGCCACATACTAACAAACCGTTACTAGCATAACCCGTCGAATAAGGCCGAGGACGACCGCCGGTTTCGCGTGCCCATTAGGCAAGTCAAAATCGCAGGCGCCCCTTTATTAGCAACAGGAAATGCATTTTTTTCCACTATAACGAGCTATTTGAACACCGAATAAGAGACCACGTCTAAGTGAGAAGAAAGAGGATATCACCATTGCCCCGGCTTCGTTGTGTCCATGTGGTATATTATTATGCATGAGGACTAATGCGCGAGTTTATTAGAATTTGGCGAATCCGCACATATCGACGATCTCTCCGCGTGTACGGCCCAGGGAGGTCGGGGATGCTTGACTACCTACTAGGTACAATGCCTGTAGCGGCCAGGGTAAATAATCAGCGTATCTCGTGACGGGTACTCCCACCTTACGCGTGTCTGTTCACCTTGAGAGCCTCTTTGAACCGCACTTGAATTGGGCACTCGAGCACATGACACCACGGCTGATTTTAGAGACACTGCGCGCTATCATGGTACGAGTTTAGGCGAATGACTAGCCAGCTCCCAAGAGGAAAGCTAGATTCGACGCGTGCTGAATATGTCTACTACAACCGCGCCTATCTCGTCCTGAGCATTCATCACTCAACAAGTGGGCGATACCGCAGCCCACTATAGCCTGGCGCCATTCCTAAGACCATATCAACCAACGATAGTATGCGGCATATGCGATTGGGCCGTTGATTCGCAATAGATTTACACCCTGAGCACTGTACGGCCCTCTCCGGCTACACGCCCGACGGGTCACGCCAAAGAGTATCGTAGGTCTCTCCTGTCTTTGAGGTTGCGATTCGGTAGAGAAAAGGACTTAACTGGATAGATGATCTGATCGCATTATTTTCCCGGCCTACTGGCTTGATTAAAAAGCCACCTAGCATGCTTGGTATTTTGCATAGCACACGCGGGCTGAGGTCCTGAGGGGCAACTCGCTTGGTGTCCATATCATATCTCAGAATGCACCCAGACTTTGATATCCACACTGTAAGTGCTTTCTACCATGATAAATATTTGGAGAAACTTGGGACGGTAGGATAAGACTTTTAGGAGCACCAAATACTGAGTTTCGAGGTCGTCAAACAAAATGCCATATTACTCCCTCAACTCGCGTCTCCGGATATTCACCGTAAGTTAAAATCATTGCTCCTGAACGTATGTAAGCCCTCGTCTTGGCCGCAGACTATCATACACCACATCAAACAGCCGCCTAGCAGCCTTGATACGGGCCGACTGGCCTAGCTATGTATCAGGTGGTCTGAAAGGGGTGTGCGTGCCTCGCATTTGATACCGTCTTTACAGGACTCTTACAAGCTGATTTTCACAAATATCTATATAAATCATAAGCCGTGATGAGAAAATTTATAGTATCCACGTGTCGTGCATAAAGACGCCGGTGGTGTATGATTACACATTCGGCCGTGCAAGGCCAGAAGTGTTTCAAGACTATTGTATCAGTGACTGATCACATTCCAGCTACACGTATCATAGGATGCCAGGCGACACTGGACCTACATACCGAGCTTAATAGAAGAAGTACTAATGATGTCGCTTTCGCTCTCACCGCCAGCATCCAATTAAATCTAGCTACCTGGAGTTCCCGAAAGATAGCCTACACCTCTTCTTCAGCGGCTGGATGGACGGTTCCAGAAGCATCCTGCCTATCAGGGGAACCTCCAAAACCACGTGAATTTCATCGCTGATTTCGCTTTAACGATACGGTATCCCGTCTGCCAACCCACCAGACAGGCCCAGAACAGTAACCGAGCCGAGATGCGGGAGGACGTCCCGCCCCCCTACCACCGAGGAAATCCGCTAGGCTAGATTGGGGTTGAGGCTATTCGTATTTCGTCTCCCACGCCTCGGGTGGTGATTCGACAGTCCAAACCTACCATACCATCGGGTGCGTTACATGTATAATACCTCCGCTGCCGCATAGCTGGGGTGCGGAACCCCTATCTAGCTACGGCAGGTAAGTCGGTACCTATATATGTAAGTAGGGAGGTAAGTCAGTGGACGAACAAGACATGCAAGTTGAGTTGCACAACTACGTTCACACTTACACAGAGGCTGATTCAACAGCCGGAAATACTTTGCGCTCGTGTGTGGGAAATAGCTTTATACCCGACGCTGGTGTGTAGCGTACACATGTGCACATGCATCTTAGCCTATAGGTGAGCACGGTTGGGTAAGTAGCGAGAGGTACCGTACCGACGCGAAGATCTGTGGGACCACGAGATCTAAGAGTATACAAGGATGACTACCTATACGCTGGTATGTTTTCTCTTAGAAAGCCGTTTTCGGATCGCTTGCGATCGAGCAAGCGTAGTACAGGCCAGGAGACCTTATCTTATTTTCGATGGCAACGAGCCAAGTGATGATACTAGCGACTCGTATCGAAAATAATTCATGGTTGAAGGTTTATTTATGTCAGATATCATTTTCGCGGGGCTAAGGTGATTGTCTGCTCGAATATATTGAGATATCTTACATACGGGGACTAGGTACTTGCATTTAATGTAGCGCTCACTCAACCCCAACCCTCTTCCGTTACCTCTCTTTCCCCCACGGGAGTATTTTCTATCCAGAAAGCCACAAAAGAATAATATATCTTCGAATACTCCATAGTCGACCCGAGATAAAACCCCGAGCCCGTCTCATCTACGCCGGGGCCAAGGGCACGGGACGGTTGGCCTAGCTTAACTTACAGGTCATATTTATTTCCTCCCCATTGTTTATCGCCACCAAGCAAGCCAGACCCTCGATCGAACCGACCTCGCACAGACGTCCTCGTGCGCCCTCATGCAAGCTGTCTAGGCGCGTTTCGTATAAATTGGGAAGGTTTCCACCGCCGCTTATTTTTGGCTCCTAAAGCTATCGCTCGCCCGGTAGATAATATCTGGGTACGAGATTTGTTCGAATCAGCCGGTTCGAGAAGAGGTAACTGTACCTACTTCATGCGTATATATATGTAGATAGGTGGGTAAGTAAGTATCGCCAGGTATTGGGATCAGGGCACGACACGTGGCTCGTGTTTGCTTTTCATACGTCTACGCCCAGTTGGTGGTGGCCGTTGAGGCTTAGCCACGAATCCTGAGGATGACATAACAGACCTAGTCTGATATCGTGATAGGTATGGGCTTCGTGAGAGCAGGTATACTACTTGAGATACGTGTCGCAACCGCTCGTCGTCTTGATGTGTTACTGTTTTGCCGCCTGTGTTCCACGAGATATGGGACACTGTCTCGCGCCTTCACGATCATACAATTCTAGCTCATAGGAGAGTACATAGAAGTACCTAACTTAAAAGAGTAGGCTCTGTTATGCCACGTAAAGCCAGGAAGTGAACAATCTGGCGGGTCATGTCCAATCAGTTAGGACATCTCGATTCATCACAAACAAATAGAAAAGCAAATATCAAAACCAATGAGGGTTTGGCTTTAAAAGCCATTTGCGTATATATGTTCATGCGCTATGTCTAATCCTCTATCAAGTAAATGACAGAGAATTATCTAAAAGTGCGAGTTGATAGGTAGACACAACCAGCGCACTGTCCTGAGACCCAACTTATACCTATCATCATACCAATACCGTAACCCTCACCTTATAGTATCGAAATAAATAGGATACCAACCAACGCTTGTTTCTCGTGAACACGTATCCCATAGAACGCTATAGCACTCTGAAAAGCGTCCCTAGGACGCTGCGCTCACAATACTAGATCAATCTCAGCGCATTGTTTTACTCCTGCGTGACACCAGCACCAGACCGCTGGATGCGGAATAGGAGATCGACTCTGTCGAGCGGTAGCTCGGGGTAGCACTCCTTAATACGCGATAAAATGGCGCGTTTGCACGAGGGGCACCGATTGCCATCCATAATGTTGACGAATACTTGTAGGACGGGCACGAGGTCCGGGGAGGCGTTGAGGAGCGGAAGTGACAGATGCGGCGCGTAGGCTAGCTGGTGCATGAGCCACACCCACGAATATAGGATCTCGTCTGGGCGAGAGCAGAGCCCCGCGATATCGTACCGGCGGTTGTACCGGGTCCCTCCGATGAGGGTGGTGCAGTTGTACTTCTTCCATGCCACGGGGCCGTGCTCGAAAGAGTGGCGCAGAAACCGGGGCACGTGGCCGATGGTGATGCGGGAGCCGAAGACCCATTCTTCGAGGGACGAGGAACGGATAGCGAAGGAATCTTGCAACGTAGGGTCATGTGGATATACGTTGGGGGTGGCTCTTTTGCGCATTACCATGCATAGACGGCGGGAACCCATGTCGTATAGGAACTTCTCCCGGTTAATCTGGAAGGCGTCGGCTAACCACGCTCTCATCCCTATTGAGCGCTCTATCCGCGCAAGCCGACCGATGGGGCCATGCGTATCGTCCTTCAGGACACGGCGTTCTTCCAAAAGCGTGAGGATACTGACATCGATAATGTCGTGAATGGAAATATAACTGCAAATTATATGGCTGGGACTCGTAAAAGGCCTCGATAATGGGACGAGATTTTGCAGGGCGATCATTCTACTCTGGCGACAGACTTTGAGAGCCACGATGCCCGGCGGATATATTGGGACGTCTTCGAGATCAGGGGTACTGCCGCAAGGGTGTCCTTCGGGTGGCTGTGGGATCTCGATTACGGGACAACGGGTTTCACCCACGCGGATCATCGTGATGGGTAGAGTGAACTTCCATATCATCCATTGAATCTCCGTTGGTAGGAATCTGAATAAAGGAAATTCTTTTAACGTCTCCGGTTTACAAATTTCGTTGGCCATAGGTACTGGATGTCCTACATATATAGGGTAATATATAGGCTGTTGTCTTGTTAGAGAATTATTTTGGTTTGGCGTTAGGGATGAACCTCTAATGGTCAAGGACCACCCCAGGACCTGGACGACTATATACAACTACCTGAAATATAGAGTATTGGTATTAACTTTCGGTTGTTGGGAGAAAATTATTCCGACCAACTCTATAACCAGGAAACTTCGCGTAAGGATATAAAGCTCTTAATCTAGACTTCGGAACTATAAGTCCTCTTTTGAGAGCATATCAACTATATCAAGATAAAATGCTACAGCGTTGAAACTTTTTAGCAATTAGCGGGGATATCGGCACGAGAAAGCTCAAACTTACTTTGGTCCGTGACCCATCCACCTTGATAAGGTCCATCTTAGGTGGTTTGTCCAGTTGATTAAATCAAGGTGACTGACACCTACTAGAGTTCCCTTGTATGAACCCCACTTCGAACTTGATACACTGACGAGACCATCATTAGGTCCCTCTACATTACTAATGATATTATGGGAATGACGGAAAGGGGAAAGAAGAGGAGGCCGATCCATCATGGCCCCGTACGAGAAGTAGCGAACGCTTGGGTCATCTGGGGTCCGTGGGTTGAAACTTTCTGTCATATATGCTGGTGTGAGTTGCTCGAATGCGCCTGTATCCATGCCTACGCCTTGAACAAGTTGATATATGCTTGGAAGTCTGTCGGCGCCGATCTCTTTGAATACATGATCCGCAAAAGCGCTCCCTCGGTGAGGAGTAGCGACGGTGACTAGAGATTTCACATCTACATTCTTAGGTTGGAGGTGAGAAATCATGTATCTGGCATCGAGTCCGCCCATAGAGTGAGCAATAATATTCACGCTCCTATCCCGCGCAACATCGGCAATACTATGAGCTAGCTTCTCAGCTCTTTGCTCGATACTTCCGGATGGAGGCACAGTTGCCGTTATGACTTCAACCCCATTAGCTCTCAATGCGTCTGTGATGCCGCGCCAATAATGAATGCCAGGGAGCCATCCTCCAGCAAGCCGAAGTTCGGCGAAGCCTAGTAAGCCATGCGCGAGGACTACCGGGTATTTAGGAGTAGCTAAGGACTATGTCAGTCATAAAGTCTATGATCTCAGGGGGATGGGGTCATCTTGTACCGTAATGTTCTCTTATGGTGGCATAGTCATCATATATCTGTTTTCCAAGGTCTTTCAGCCTCGGATCGTCATCATGCTGGGAAGAATAAGCCCTTGAGCTCCTCGGCGGTAACAACAACCGAGTATGCCGGGCTAAATTATCAGATGCACCATCGAATGAGCGAAGAGATACGGGGTATTTGAGGCAGTGGCTTATAGCGCATCGCGATGGACTCATTTCTATAACCTCAACCTCAAGAAATGGCTGGTTGTTTAGGGTTTAAGTTACAGTTTTGTTATAGTTAGTTAGTTATGTTGATCGAAAGTAAAAGTTAATAAGATCAATGACCCCACGTAATACGTCATGCATTAAACCAAGCGCGATGCACGTAAGCGAAAACGCGTTAAAGTATTGACCAGGGCTGCCTTTTACCTAAACCTACCTGGTAATTGAAGTTTAGATTTATGTAACAATTTCTTTCATACATCAGCCATATATAATTGTTAACACGTATTAAAAGATATACTTTAATAAAATAAGCTTAAATCATTTTATATATACCTAGTGCAAACTCAAATTATAGGTACAAAAACAAACGCCAACAGCGGCTGGTAGTAAGAACTTTAAACCGGTCCTAAGCCTTTTTAGTCCTTCCTCTTTCGGGGGCTCCCGTAGGGCGTAGTACTCGCCCATCAGTTAGCGTGGCGAAATCTCTTGGCGGTATCTCTTAAGCACGAAATTAGCGTCAGTAAAGCCGAACGGCTCGACCACTAAAATTCAACTCCTCCACGGGTCGCATAAACGGTCGCATATGTTGAACCTCAGCTAACACTCCCTTCTTCGCTATTACTATGGTACTATTCAAAACATAGCCACCAACACCAGCCAACATGCATAACATCCTTACTCCATTCACGTGAAATCTGACTCGTTTCTACCTTTTGTCGTATTTGTTTTTTCCGTCGGTTAAATAGGTAAGGTGAGTTTTGCGGACCCGTAACTACTTGAAGCGCAACGTTGCGGTTCTCGCGTCTGTGAAGATGCAGCGTGTTACATTCGGCGTGTTTATTACCAACACTCGAGCAAACAAGACTACATTATTGTCCAATCAAGTACGTCCGGGCGTCAATTACATTCGGCCGACACACTATACTTGCTCTGCTTCTTGTCCGACCATATGTTATAGTACATGATTACTACAAGATGGCCCCCGAACATCCAAGCTTCATCTTATCTCTTACGTCCTACGGGAAGGGAAAGTCTATTAAGTCTTAGACCAGGCTAAGTATATAGCCCATCAGACGGTTTTATCTCAAAAAGCAAAATAGTACAGTTTAACCTCGAGCACTTCCCGTACAGTGTCCTACAGTCAGCAAGTCGAAAAACATGGATTAACTGCGGCCATAAGACGCGCTGACATTAGCCGCGCTGACTTGCAGATTCCTCGTATGATTGGCCACTGTTAATATGGAGTCTATGGTCGAACCATACTGTCGGGTCAGCTTTCGCCCCCCGTCGAACCCCGATTGGGCATCTCGCAGACCTGTTTCCATGTGAGAAGCACATCGAGAGGTCCTCTCTAGCCTTGCTTGGAGATCGACCCAAAGTTCTGTTATGTCCGGAAAAAAAAAACACCTCGGTCGAAGAGAGACAGGAAGCCGATGTTGCTCGGCCCGCGGAAAACTACTTGGGCACCATTTATACCGATATTCTCGTTTCTCCACTGTAGATGCTAGTCTTCTAGAAAGAGACACATAGACGCCGTTTAAAGGCTATGGATTGGCTGAGTGGGCCTGCGGTGTTCCCCTGTATAGACAGGTATCGTCGCATGCCAACATCTTGTGTGCCCTCCTTGTGTGAATCTTATCTCCAATCCCAGAGCGGGCTGTGGGGAGAGTACCTACCAGCACGATTGAGATGGGATGTACCTTTTGCAGGGGCCGTCCTAGATCTTCCATCGGCTCACCATGAGGAAAATCCATCTCGGGCCGGTGCATGGTGAGAGTTCATCCGATTGCTTGTGCTGTTTAGGCATCACTGCGATTTCCTCTAGGCACTTAGGATACCTAACTGGACCTGTGATTCTGAGTCTACCTTACATCGGTATGAGATCTAGCCGACTTATAAACTTGTTCACCCCGTTAGGACTTTCTCGTCTTCCAAATTGTCGTCAGCTGGAGCCGACAAGTAACATGCGACATGGCTAGTTCTACGGATTGCGTCTCGGGCCGCTGCTCGCGGATCTTTCTCACATACGAACCTTTCCTCGCTGGAAGTGCCATCTTCCTGGCCTTATTTGCTATTTTGATTCCCATCACATTGGCCTTAGGGATCAAGTACAAGAGCTCTGTTTTCGCTACAGCGGTAGTGACGGGACTCGCCTTGGAAGTGGTGGGATATATCGGTAGACTCCTGTTGCACACTACCCCGACCGATAGGAGTGGTTTCATTCTATTCTTGATCGGAACTATCACGGGCCCGACGTTCATCTGCGGCGGTATATTCCTTATAGCGCCGCAAATCGTTACCATCTACGGCGAAGAATTCCGCTCATGGAGGCCGGTTTGGTATTTATTCGTACTCTATGTGCTCACGGCTGTATCTCTTGTACTCGAGTTGGTTGGAGTGCTTGTCTCGACAATTCAAGATGACATAGGAGAAGTAGGTTTTCACACTTGTGTTAGACATGGTCTATGAGTCTAACTTCTATATAGGTTGCTATAGGCTCCCATGTCCTCGTCGCTGGACTAGTTATTCAACTTATTACCCTGGTTATCTTCATTGGTCATGCTATCCTGTTCGCGATTGCCGTGCAAACGAGACACCATATGTTGGATATCAAATTTGCCGGCATATACAATAGCAGGTCTTTCAAGGCCTTCTTGTTCGGTAAGGAAAAGCGATAACTACAGCCTACGAAATCCTAGTAGGCTAACTTTCAAATAACGCATAGCATTCACATTTGCGATTCTCTTGCTCGTCCTGCGAACAGCCTATCGAATCGTGGCGATTGCCGAGGGATTCGGCAGTTCGATCGCGCAGTCGGAAACGTTGCTACTAGTACTCGACGGGTTGATGGTACTGCCCGCCACTTTAATCTTGCTAGCATTCTTCCCGGGGCGAATTCTGCGGGACTCGGGGTCCCAGACACTACCTCGTAGATCCCCCAGAACGCCACTTCAACCGATACGAGTAGCCCCGTACGACTTGCCGTCGACCAGAAGCAGCCCGACTTATAACCGAATCAGTACCAAGTCTTCTACGCCAGGTCATTCTCCAAGGAAGTCAGCACCGCCGCCTCCAAGTAATATGGTGGACAGTGACGCCTTGTGGTAAACGAGGGCGTTATATGAACCGGGTTCGGAGATCACATAGGGTATCATGTGGGAAATCTATCAGTATCAGGAGGAGGGTTATCTAAGTAGCATGTAGCGTTCTCAACCGCTACCTGTCAGGCCAGCTGTGGTGGCTTTTCGATGAACATTTTCTATTATTCTCATATACCCTTCATTTGGATATAGTAGGGGGTTGGCCTTAGGAGTACTGGGGCGTCACTCATTTAAAGTTGCTTATTCCTGCGTTACGTAGGCGTGGATCCCGGCGTTGAGGATATATATTTTTAGCGGAGCGCAAGGTCGTCACTTTGGGATGAGTTTGCGTTGTGGGTTTATTTACCTTCTTTTGAACCATATTATTATTGTGTCTTGAGCGACTTCTAGCACAGTGGAATCTGAATTAACTACTATTCTCCATGCTATGAAGATGTTTACACCGTTCCTTGATAAGGCCTGCGTGACATGTCCGCATTCCTTGATTTTTACTTGGCCATAATTCAGGGTCTAATACAGGTACCTCTTTTAGGAAGAGTTCAAACCTGCAAGCACGACGCTAACAATATAATACATAAGAGACAGTAATACGTACGTACCAAATAACGCACTCAAGCTATCACGCCAAGAGCTACACTGTGTAATCACCTCGTCTCTGATAAACTAGCCCACCGCAAAATCTTCTCTGTCCCAACCCTCGGTCCCGGCCCTGCTGTCAGCGCCGGGATGAGCCAACCACCGGCTCGGGTTAGTAGTGCCCGTTCCTTGCCTGCTCTGTAAGTCGGGTGCTCCTATTGGTCTCCCTGGACACCTGCTTGTATATATGGCGCTTACCGGACAAAGAGAGTGGAACAGATCGATCGAGGGTGAATATTGCTAGGGTCATTATTAATTTGCATCCTAACGCTAAGAAGAAGGGTCACTTCCGTACTCGCTAAGCGGTATGGGGTCCCGGAACGCTGGTCGGCGTTTATGATCGAGGACGTTCTATGATCTTACCGATGGGGGAGGGGGGCAGAATAGGGGTAAAGGCCATCTACCTACGCACAGAAGTACCAATGTTGGATTGTTAGGCATAGCGAGTATCTCATGACTGGCGGGTAACTATTGATCTAGGAATATTCGCCGGCAAAGGAGTTCTTGTAATTAGCCAGTGACCTACCTGAGGGGTGCAACGAGTTCTATCCCTTGCGTGGGAAGATGCGCCTATTATCTTCGACGAGCGCCACTATAGTCCTAGTAACAGGGGGCAGTTCGCCGGAGTATGTATGTATGCCATAGGATGATTTAAACGCAAATCGACAGCGCTTATAATATTGAGTGGCACACCCTTATCAACGTCGGCATGTTGAAAGTTCTATCATTTTCCGAAGCCTCTACTTGGGCAACAGAACTAAGGCTCCTAGATAGGTATATATACCCAGACATGCGGAGTGTGAAATTTTATATATATATTCGTTAGTCAAACAAACTGGCCAATGCTTTAGAGCATTTACCCCTTTTCCGCTTTGTTGGCGCTGCGCTCGCTACGTATGGGGTATAGAGTATCCATCCAAAGTCGAGGGCATTGCGTAGAATTATATATACTCTCAAGTCAGCAATATGATATCGTTCTAAACCGAATCAGCTTGGTACCGAGCTGACTATTTGCACTGCGTTCCTATCGTCGCCTCGTATTAATTAGTAAGATTATTAAGAGGTATCTTGGAAGCGTATATGATCGGTCCCTAAAGTGTTAAGCATAATAGGTATGAGAAGCACTACTCTAGGAGTTAAAGGCGGGCGTGATATACTTTCAAATGTACTCGGGAATAATAATTTAGGGGTTAGTATTCGCGTACAGTTAGTAGGAAAGGGTATACAGTTGTTAAGAAAGAAAAATACTATACACGCTTCACATATTTTCAATCTCTTAGAGTGTAGGTTCCAAACCTTACGATAGCCAGGCTTAAGACGACCAGTGTCTTCATCTTGCTCCGACCGGGTCTTCCTGGCACTGCCCTACAAGTAACAATTCATTGTCCTATACCCTTTTTTTCTTTAGGAAGCTTCAATGTTCGACACAATACCCTTTGTCTATAGAACATTCGCTTAGCCTTCCACAAAGCCCCGGTTCAATACAATCAAATTACAGGCATCTTCGAGATGATAGCAATGATTCTGTTTCACAACGCTTTCTTCAATTTTGAAAATGGCTTCATTGTGTACAGGTTCCAGTGTGGGAAACCCTTCTATATTCTATAGGAAATCTAGTTGTAAGAAGAAAAGTATATAATATGGATGTAGAACCTAGAGCTTTCGATTTTGCCTTCATCATCTCACACAGATTCCAGATCGTCAACCTTCTGCTTAACAATAAGAACTACTGCTCTAACAAGCTTGATTATCTGTAATCTTCGACTGTCCGATTACTAACTTTTACTCATACACTTACCATTTTATTTAAACATAAACAAGATGGCGGAAACCGAATCTACAGGCCCTTCAAGCGCCGTCGCGCAACTATCGTCTGACAGTACTCTTAGTGGGTTCTCCTTGCCCGACCCCGGCTTCGACCCTTCTAACAATCATGCCATCAAGGCTTATTACGAGAAGAAAGAGAAGAAGGGTGTCCTCGCCGACGAAGATGGTATCGAGGGGGATATCGAAGAAGAGGCCGAGAGAGCAGTCACTGACTGGGAGGAGGCAGTCGGTCGAAAAGCGACCGACGAAGAGCGCGAAAACATGAAGGCAAGGATCCGACAAATTCGTGCCGGTGAATGGCTGGAAGGCGCAAAAGCGCAGCTCGTCGGGAAGGCCACTGTTCCGATCGCTTGGTTCAACCGTCTCGTAGCTCAGAATGAAGGGGTTATCCAGTTTGTTGCCCAGAAATCCGTTGAAATGAAACAACGGAGACAGGAGGCTAACGGGAAAATCGCGGAACTCCTAGAAGAGTTTGAAAGGCTAAAGGACGCTCAAGTGGCCAGCGAGGACATCGACAAACTTAAAGCCCAGATCGAAAAACTGGAGCAAGAAGTTTCAACGCTGCAAGATGATCTTACCAAGGCCGAAGAAAAACTCAAGAAGCTCGGCGAGGAGAACGACCAACTAAAGACCCAGCTTAAAGAAAGCCAGGACCGCGAGAAAAATCTCCAAGATAAATACGACAGGCAAACATCCGAGCTAAATGTTTGCTACAGAAACCTCCGGGATCGAGAGGAAAAGATCGAACAGCTCGAGGAAGAGGCGAGGGCAATACGGAGAAGGGAACGAGCTGTTAGAAATGACAACAGGAACCTCGAGAAGACGATCGCTGAGCTAAAGCGTAGGCTCGAGGACAGTGAAAATGACAAGAATAAGGCAACACCGAGCACCGCGCCTGCCCCATCTGCTGAGTTCGACACTATGAAGATACTTCGAGAGCTCAAGGAGGCGAAGGAGAAAGACGAAGAATTGAAAGAAGAGAGCAAAGAGCTCCTTGATCGATGGATGGCCCAGGTTGCCGACAGGAACAATCTCTTGGAGTTCTACAACGCCGTGGGTGAAGTAAGAGAATCGATGGGCAAGCTGAAGCAACGAGTCGTCGCCTTTTACCATAGTCTCGGTTACGACGACGACACCGTCCGATCTGCGGGAGAGGCTCTCGACAACCTCGAGGAGCAGATTAGGGAGCAACCTCAACAACGGCTCGGCGCCCGGCTCTGGGGTCTCAAGCTCCTGGCTGAGAAGCAGATGTTAGGGACGGAGCTAATGACGCAGGTGATTAGGAACGACACCCTAAACATGAAGCTTGAGATGGCCAAGCCGGACGAGCAGATCGACATGGAGATACGTATGGAGTACAATATATTCAATGACATCGAGATCAATAAGCGGGTCGCAGCAGAGACGCAGATGTACCGGGCGCATCGCCGCGAATTAGTTGGGAAGATGTTCGAATGTGGAGAAAGGTTGAACCTGATCGCCGTCGAATGTCCTGACCAGCCGACTCGAGAAGCCATCACGACTGCGTCTCGGGAATGCTTATCCCTGCCCAGTCTTATGAGGCTAACGCCGGTGGCTGCAGAGTCGCGCGAATAATCTGCAAACATCGCGTCTTCAAAGTTGTCCTCGCTACCATCTCTGACAATAGTCCCTATATCGCGGGCTTAATCCGGAGCGAGCAACTGCCAATATACTATAGAACGGCCGAGTGACACTAAGAGTAGGGCCGGGGGAAAGGGGGAAAGGGGGAAAGGGGGTTATCCAGTAAACTGCCTAAGCGTCTGTGTATAGGGATCTTCACCATGTTTCAATTGTTTACTCGTAAGTTCTGTTTTAGTTAGTAGATGATTGTTTAGTTAATGCATTAGCGGAATATTTCTTGTAAAACTTACAATTTCGCACCTACATATATCGTGTATTTTAGGATGAAAACTTGGACACCGTCGTGAGGCCGCGCTTCTCCGCCATCCCTATACGAATGTTCCACTTCGGGCCGTTCCCGGCCACTATATGCTGATTACCTCGGACGCTCTCGTAGCTCTCTCATTGACGTAGCGCTGATCTAGTCGGAGTTTTCTGGAGTCCTGCAAGATCGATTTGCAGCGGCCGTATTGATGATGCGGGGAAAGCTCGCCAGCAAAATATCTACGACGTAACTCGAGCTTGTTCCGAGAGAAAGCCTAGAGGCAAAGAGACCTTTGAAAGACAAGGATCGCGAACCCATGACAAAGGGTGCCAGTATAGTTGCGGAGCTTTATTGTTACCCCCTCGAATTTCCTTGTATATTTCGGTTCACTCAACGGAATTTTACCCCTCATGTACCTGCATATCTAGAATAAGTGGTTAGCCAACTTCGAGTTAGCTATGCACGGACTGAAAGGGCATGATGTTTTCGATAGCGGAACATCACTCCGTAGTTGAAGGACCGGAATAAAATAGGGTCACAGCAGTGTTGTCACGTTATGCATCCGGGGATGCATGAGGGAAACTGAGCGCGAATGCTTCCTTGTTGAACAGCAGCGTCCAGAATCTCCTGGATTCCGTCTCGGCCTGACTCGTATTGACAATGTGCCTGGGTAGACTTCGTCTGAACAAGCTCAAGCGCTTATGTAAACGTCGCATAGCCAAGAGATCCCGATAGTAGGGGGTTGTTTTCGACCGGGAGTATGGAACGCCATTTAATTATCGTGAGAAGTACAGTTGAGCTTGATATTGCAGGCATGCCGGCTACCGCTGCAACTACCGCAGATCGCACGACATCAAAAGAAGTCTCTGAGGACTCTCATATAGCTGCAAGGTTTATTAATCCGGGGAGACACTTAGGAATAGAGTGTCTCCATGGTTTCCCCAGATTTTCGCCCGGCAGAATACGGTGGGATGTTCCTTGTGAGATGCCAATGCAACCTGCGAGCTATCACTGCAAATTAATTTCTGCGAATGCGTAGGCGATTCTCACGCCGAGGGATGCTGTAGATAATTAGGATAATTGGACGTTGGGGTATCCCGAAGAAACTTGGCGCCACGCCAATGTACCGATACCATTAAGCTGACGGTTATTATGGGAGAGAACATGTGAATTAATTGTCATATTGAGTTTAGTGAGGCTGACCTTTGCATATCATGTTATTGTCTAGGTGAAGGGATTGCCGAAGATTATTATCGAATCAACTGCGCAACCCAATGGCACGGATTGAATTGAATGTGTTTTCCCCTCCAGAGATTTGGGTCACAGGCGGTAGAATTGCTCGCTCGACGAAAATACCTATACATCAGGTAAAAGGTAAGCGACTAGGTTAATTATATACTTGGTTAGCCTCGTCATTGGTTGTAGCGGTCCTTGTTTAGACTTGTATCCTGCTCTTGAGCGAAGATCCGATCTAGTAAAAAGATTCGAAGACTTCCTGAAGACCATTAATACGGAAGAGTGAGAAGTATCATGCCAGTTAAACGTGAATATATCGGTCCTGCTTTACGGTGCCATTGCTGAATACATATAATTACAGAACTGGCCTAATGTGAAATCATCAGTTATAATTGATTGGTAAAAAACTTGGGTTAGATATCAAAACCGAGTAGGCATGCGAAAGGACTCATCTTGTCCCGATCTGGATTGTCGGAGAGATCGGTCAGATAGATCCGGCATGCTACACGGCACTCTTCAAGTACAAAGAGCCTCATGGCCTGTAGGATCAATCCTCTTATAGAAGACGAACGTACTCGATCCAGAGCTAAGGTCGAGCTAAAAGATAAGCAAAATACCCCTGACAAAGAAACCACGAGTACGGGTTGAAACGGTTAATAAAGCAAGCTGTAGGACATCTTGCTACAATCAGTCCCTCGCCTGGTCCCTTTCGGGCCTGCAGCAGATTAGATTATTCGTTTCTTTCTTTTTGATACTGACTGCCTAATTGAGCTTGTCGGTGAGATAGCTATTGGTTCGTAGTGGAAACGGCGAGCATGTCATAGCCGGGGGCTTGTTGTGTTATCCGGCTTGACTGTGGAGGACTGAAGCTTGACCGCGATAAAGTTGAAAACTAAGCTGCTACTGTTACATTGGCCGTTTTTAATTGCTAGGTCATGTTCCGGTCATTAAGTAAGTAAAGATCGCTTCTTGGGCCAGTAGGATAGTTTCTCTCCACTATAACGTACGCAGTCTTTGTTGGCTAGTCGGAATATTTTAGCCGCCGTAGGGATAACGAGCGCTTCTTAAAGCTTTATCATTAGATTAGTCGCAATGAGGTAGGTGGAACAAATTTGATAACGATATAGGACGTGGTCTTTCACATGCTGACAAGTCGCTGACATGGTCTCGACCCGTCTGACAAATCTCCATGATTTCTGAAGATGTAAGGGAAGCAAATGGCACAGCTGAGCAAAGCATTTTCCTACCTAAAGACATGCTTGATGCTGACCTAAGGGTAACGCACCGGAATTCTTAAATACCAGAGACCCGGTAATCAGAATGACGCGTGGAGAATGCCAAGTGTTAAGGGTCCGCGATCATGTATGTTGATTAAGCCAGCGATGACATCTCGCCTCTGGATAAGCATAGATAACTGTTACCATGATGGTAAATCGGGCTACGAAGCAACGCAACCCGACCCCTGGATTCGCGGCTTGGGAGATGAATTTGGTAGTGACACATCCGTCTTAGAAGTAGACTCAGCCAGGATGAAGAATCGCGGATTTTTTCAATTCCCTGGGCTTGACATCAAGGTTTTCTGTGGTGTTCAAGGAACCAGGCACCGTGACAAAGACAGCGTACACCACAAATGAGTACAATCCTTCTCGTCGTAACTCATGGGCGTACACCCTAGCACCCGAAAGTCCAAGTCGGTAATAGGATGTCGTTCACCTAGGATTCGGACGGATTCCATGGTGTTCAACGGCAGGATCACAAAACATCTGCGGCGTGGATATCTAGGAGACATTCATAGATAAGGGGCGTCGATCCTCGCACGGAAAACCCTCAGGACTTCGTAGGTAGAGAATTACTAATTCATGTCCTAATCGGGATAAAAACTTGTTGACGGTTGGGAATCGTCCGGGACTTCGACAAGGTTCATAAAACCGATGAATTTATCCATATTATCATTAACTTCCGACAGTAGTATAGCTGGTTTGGGATTACGAACAAGGTTATCGTAGGGTTACCAAGGAGAAAACAGAAGGTTGAAAAGGGAAAGAAATCAGGGAATGGGACGAATCGCAGCAAAGTCCGCTAGGGCTGCAAAGCATTAGAGTACCTGGAGTACCTAGGTACTTCCTCTATTCGGGGTACGGAACGGGGCATTGGTTGTTGCGGTCCACTAACTTGGGCACTAAACCTACATCCAATAGCTTTTAATTAAGGCCCCTGCTGCTAGCCTACAACCCTACCTTATGCAGCCTGTAGGTAACACCCTAGATCCCTGACAGCCGGTACCAAATATTTCTGAGTGTTACACTCACCCTCACCTTCATCATCTTCTTCACCATCTTCACCCTCCTTCACTACGTCAACCCGTCAAACCAAACACGACTATTCTAAGGGTCCAGAACATCAGCCCACATATCCACATATCCCACATATGTATTCTTTCTTCTATTTCCCCCGAACAGTACTATAATATCTTATTAATCCTAGTCCATAGCTCCGCCGACCTGGACCTAGAAATGCAAGTAGCCATGTCACTTCGGCTTCATAAGCGTAACCTCGCTCCGTCCACACACGTCCACATACGTCTGCATACCTTAGTCACTCCCACGAATCACACTTCGTAAGAGGCTTGCTGCTATACATCCAAATGTAGCACTGTATCTCCTTCACTCCAAAATGTAACTTCCTCGCTACCAGGAGCAGGGCTAGCTCACCACTGCCGGTGAAGCCATCTAGCCCCTGTCTGATACCGTATGCATGCATGTAGAGTTGTTAATCATGGCTCTCGCTGATGGATGAAGCAATCCCGCGTCCTATATGGTACTTCCTCTTTGGGCATAGAGATCCAGTTAAGCGTATTCTCTAACGACCATGGAAGACCATGGCCACACGGACATGTGCTTCGCCAAGTTATTCGACTCCGACAAGACTGAGAGCTGCCATGATTTAACTCGGGCTACGCCCGTTCAACTTTTCCTCCGAGCCAAGAAAGATTGCGTTGAGAATAGTTGATAGATTACGTCCGCCCCTAAGGTGACCTATTAGCTGATCCGCCTCATCCTTTGAAGACTCTGATATCAGATCAACAGCTCTCCACTCGGTCCCGATCTACCTACGTCCAACAAAGGTGTGCCTCAACAGAGACGCGTACTCGTGTATACTACTGATAGCACACTATACCATTGTTGTTTTATAAGACCTATCCTCCTCGTTCGTTTCTTAGGGGTTCTGATCGTAGGCTCAACACATCGTCTCATTATTTCGAAGTCATCATCACCTTTGCAACCATGAGTTCGCCAACATACGGGACGACGTCAGCGGCTGCTTCTGAATCTTCTACCGCTGCTGCTGCTGCCGCCGCCGCCGAAGAAGCGGCATTCTATGAATACCTAGAGGAACGACAAGTTAGGAACGCAAAAGTCTTGGTATACTACGCAGCCGGACTAAGTTCCCTTATTGGCGTCTTCATCATTGCTCACTGGCTTCGTTTAATAACTGTCAGACTCGGCTGGTCTCGTAACCCGATATTTCAACCTTTCATTGCTATAGCAAGGTGAGCATGCCTGTCGCAAGAGATGGACGCATTCTAACCTAGTATTTCCTTAGAGTTTCTAGGAGGATATTTATACAAAGCCTACCTGGCTTTACCTCTATCGGACATGCCGCCGTAGTGACCGCCTATGTAGCTCT